CTCTCCAGCCGTGGAAATTCACCCATCTTGTGCGAGCGCTGTGGGGAGGTTTGTCGTGGGGAGGTGGTGCGCGTCAAGAACACGCACTTCCACGTTCACTGCTTCACCTGCCAAGGTAAAAAAAAAAAAAAAAAAACCACACACACAAATGTGCTTCCATACAGCACACATTAACATACACGCGCACCCTCCTCCACTCTCCGCTCCCTCCTCTCACACGCCGTGTTTCATATTAATTTATTTTGTAGTCTCGGACTAATGCACGGGGTCTTCATGTGTGGATTCCGCCCACGTCAATTTGCATAATTAAATATTAAACAATTACCAGTACTCAGACAAGAAGGAACCAGTGCAATTGAATCAGGGATAGCTTCTATCTTCACTGAAATAGAAACTGCACTGTGACTTTACCAGGATCAAAGCCAATCGCAAAGTGTATTACGTAAGAAAAAGATAAAGGCATTCAATGACACAGAGGCGTCAGTAATTGGGCGTTGGTGTCACCAGAAATAAAAGGTGACATGCGATATCTCCACAGTGGATAGGAGGTGGAAGGATCTTTGATCCTTTAAACATTAGAGGCTTTTCATTTTTGTCTAAATGTCTCAGCACAGGCCTTATGTTTTGATTTGGCCTTTTAGATTTTGTCCTTGTGCAGTATTTATCTTCTGATGACCAGGTGTCCGTTGGCATTGTATAGTCAGTTTGTGGACATCTGATTCACAGGCCGGGCTTATGCAGTAGTCATCCATCATCTAGCATGGGTAAATTCAATGTCTGCATGTAAAACACAGCCGGAAGACGGCTTCAGTCAGGGTTATTGTGGCGTCATCTTCAATGTGACACACAGACAAGAGCAATGGAGGATATCGCAGGGATACCAAAGGTCTTTACGATCTCAATTGACCACAGCGTAGTTTTGCCGGTTGCCATACTAAAAGTATAGTACAATATTAATCCATCCATCCATTCTCCATACCAGCCATCATTGTAGGGTGATGCCAAGAAAAAAAAGCGCTAGATAGCATGTACTATCCACAACCTTTGTCTGATGTAAAACCAAAAAAGGAGTTGAGTAGATTTGAGCTGGTGCTGTGCAGGTGTTGCTAATCACATAAACGATGTCTCTGTTCTGTTCAGGGGTCCCAGTAAGCAATGACAGGGAACCCAGCATGCACAGTAACAGGACCCTGAAACTGGGGAAGCTAAACGTAATTCATTCATTCATCATCTTCTTTAATTTTATTATTTGCACCTGTCTTTTTCCTATGGAGACATATGAAAACGTCTTCTGTGAAAAAGGTCCCTGGACCCCACTTTAAGAACCAGTGGTCCATATTAACTCATACATGTTAGCAGTGAGTCAACAATCTGGCGAAAAAAAAAAAAACAGTATTAAAATATGGAACTGAAAGATTGAAAGAATGTGTTACCACTCGCTCATAGATTTCATTTTTCATCTTCATGCATATGCCCGTGTGGTTATGTGTAGTTGCACACACTTTTGCCTGTTCGAGCTCCACCAGTGAGCAGGTGGGACAGAGCGCACAAATAGAGGTCTGGAGTCAGCAGCTATAGCTTGGCAGTGCAGTCAGCAGGTTTTCAGCCCGTAGTCAGTCTCCAACCTCCTTTCACAGGCCGAGACCCACGCGGTCCCAAAGCGTGCTGCAAGACAACACAGTTTTCTCCTTTTGATCTGCCAGTAACATCGGCTGGCTGCACTCAGCCACAAAGCACCAAAGAGGAGGCTCTTCTTTCTTATCTCGTGCAACGGCGCTCATCACAGATCTTAAAAATAACCTGAGCTGAAACAACCACTGGGATTGTTTGTTTGGTTGAATAATTGATTGTCTGATTGTTTGTTAGTTAGAAGGACACAAGCCAGATTTATTGACGGAAATGTTCTCCCTTTGATATTAAAGTATTTACTATTATGGAGAATTGATCTTGCAGAGTAAGCTTAACGACTTTTAGCTAATGGACCGTGGGCTGAGTAGACATCCGCTGATGAAGTGGACAGGAATCAAATCATCAGCTTTCAGTACACAGGCATCTCTGTTTTTTTCTGCTCATTATCTTTCTTTCTCTCCCTCTCTGTCGCTCTCTTGTCTCACATTCTTTACTTGTAGCTGCGAATTTCAGAGAGTTACAATGTGTCTTTGTTTGGTTAACAGTGTGATCTCCTGTTTGTGTGGCTATTGAGATTGGTTTTTCTTGTTGTTTTTTTGGAACAGAGAGAGAGAGAGAGAGAGAGAGAGAGAAAAGATTTGGGATATGAGAGTTAGGTAGATGAGACGGCAACCCTGTGTGTTAGTGTGTGATTCAGGGTGTGTTATAGTGGGCAGGATATTGAGAGTTACGTAGGCGGCATGTGCTAGAATTTATTATTATGATAGCTGAAACTCAATTAGTTTAATTATAAGGTTATTTTTGACACCAGCAGTCGGTCAGTTCGCCCACTAGCTCAGCTATCGGATAGATTGTCACGATATTCGTAATCCCCAGAGGATGAACCCTACTGACTCGTGTCGATCCACCGACTTTCCATCCAGCGTCACCATGAGGTTGACAGTTGTGGTTTTGAGTGAAATGTCTTGACAACTTCGTTTCCTGTCGGAGCAAGAAGAATAAAGCACAGAATGCACACCAGTGAAATTTCCAACAAGTCAGGAGACAAAGAAAAGATGCAGCTCTGCAAATCAAATTGTTCTGCTCTCATAGAGTCTATAATGAAATATGGAACATGTTTGTTTTAAAGCGATTTTTGGTTTATCCCCATGTCCTGCTGGGTATGCAAGTGTGTCGTCGTGTCTCCTCAGTTAACAATGTAGCCAAAATCCATAATATGTCACACAATTGTGCCAGTGTAATCCCTCAGTTAGACTATAGACTGGTGAGACTTTCCCGTTTCTCCTTTCTTCCCCTCCTCCTCTTTGATCCATCCGTCCATCCTGATCACACTCATGCAAATGCAGAGAAGCTACAGTGAGGAAATCCACCCCATGTTGATGATGCGAATAAATGAGGGAAGACAGTGACAGGACGGCAGACGTGTGCTGGATGGACGGATCGATAGCCTCATTGATACCTCCCCTGGGTCCCCCTGTCTCTCCCTCTCTCCTTCCACATCCTCATCCCTTCACTTTGCTGCTTCCCTTTCTCCTCACATATGATGCTTCCTCTCTATTCAGCTTCCTCTAATCTCTCCCTTGACTCCCATCTTGCCTCTCCTCCTCTTTTCTCCATGTCTCCTCTCAGCCTCATGTCTAAAATAATCCTCTCCTCTTCCTTTTTTTTTTTTTTTTTTCCACCAGAAAATTGAGCCATGTACATCATCTATGACCTTACAGCGTCTCTTTTGTAAAGAACCACTTCAGTCATGACTGGAAAAGAGGACAAACACCTTAAATGGTCTGATTCTCACTGTGCATCAAACGTTGTAGAAGACAGTTTGAGATAAAGGACAGCGTGTCTATTATTAAAGCCTTTTTTAGGTCATTTTCAGTTAAAGAGTCTCTACTTGAAGGTGATTGTACAACAAGCATACACTAATTCATTTGGATGGATGTACAACTGCAGGTGCTTCACCTTCTCAACAGAATTTAAAGTAGACTGGTAACAAGTTTGTGTTTTAGAAGAGAAAACGTACTGTGTATTTTATCAGTGTTGGTGTACGCTCAGCCATACAGACAGTCTGGCCTGGCTCTTTCTTCAGAAGAGACTTCAAGGACAAACTGTGAAGCATGTACTGCTGTATCAGCTCAGCTGTGCAGTCTTTTTCTTTTGTGTGTGTCCTCGCATGAGCGTTAGCATGTTGGGTCAGTGTGCTGGTGCGCTTGTGTTTATTCTGTGCGTGCATGTATTGTTTTTTGTCTCTATCTGCAAGCTAAATCAGAAAGACGAGTCGGCCAACATGTGTATCAGGCCTCCAGGAGTTGTCGTTTCATGCATCTATCTTCATTTATATCACTTTTTCTTAAATCTATCTTTCCCTCGCCTCCTTTGTCTTTCATTCCCTCGACCCTTCCCTCAGCCGCTGGCAGTGAACAAAGAAATCATTACATGCTGTCCTTCTGCCAGTTGTGTGTGTTTACGTGTATGTGTGTCCACACCTCGAGCACTTCAACCTAATGGGCTACAAATCACTGTTAACAGACATAGATCAAAAGTATTTAAATACTTCACTGCCTCTGATTAACTGCAACTGAACCTGACCCCTGATGTGTAGAAGGAAAGGAAAGTAGGAGGCTGGTGAAGAATAAATGTGTTGGAGCAGAGAGAGGAGAAAAGAGTAGAGAGTGGGATGAAAGGGAGGAGAAATACCATCACTTTATTTATTAATTTGTATTTATTTCAGTTATTTGTGCCCTTATTTTCCGTTTGGTTTCTCTACAAGACTCCTCTTACTTTTACCTGCTTCTCAGTCTAGAGTACGAAGTCAAAAAGGATCTTTCTAACTAAGGTAAAGGAGCTTTTTGTAAGTTTTGCCATTGCTACAAAGCCAGCGTTAGCATTAGCAGCTGTTTACTTACCAGTCTTGCTAAGAGCTTCAGCCTTTGTTGCATTTATAATACAAGAAGTAATATTTCGCCCTCTGAGCAGCGCTACTTCTCCAGGGCAGACTGGATGCTACAGTGACTCGGTATCGGAAAACAATGAGACTGAGAGTTAACATTGTTGTTGTTGACTGATGTTTTTCTTTTCCTCTCTGTCATAAGTCTGTCTCTCTTATACTTGTCATTTTGCTTTCTGAATACAATAAATCCTGCTGCCCTCAGCCTTGAGAGCCTTGCCAGCATCACGGCACTCTTATTTCTTTATTGTTCATCAGATTCATGGATCTTTTGACAGACATTTTGACTGCAGGTAGAAGGACAGATGGGGCTATTAACATAAACAATGGCTACTGTAGGCTCCAGAAATTATTGCAATGCAAAGCAGCAGTTAATGTTATTAGTTACATCTGTGTTGGACAAGTCAAAAAGCTCTATTCAACTTAGCAACAGCTCTGCACCTAACTAACGTAAAATCATGTTTAAATACATCTAACTAAAGAGACATCACCTTCCTGTGACTTTACTATGATAATTGGTTTGGGTTGCTAATAGCACTGAGTGTAAACCTCGTTTGGACTCCTCTTCTTGTTGAGCTACTGTGACATCTTACAAATGAGTAGTGTCTTCATCCTTAAATCTCATCACGTGAATCTGATTACATCCTGTAAAATTTGTTTTGGTTGTTACTTCTGTCTGGTGAGAATAAATCATACAGGTCAGAGGTCCCAACACAGACTTGCCCCTAGGATTCCTGGGGTCTTAATAGACAGCTGTCTCACTGGAGTCTGGCTGTACAAACACTACACTACACAGTGAGACACAGTGGAGCCTGGAAGACTCTTTAGATGGTTGTAAACGATCATAAAAATGCTCTTACTCTCTCTAGTACCGGGTCAACTGTCTACCAGAAACAATCACCTGCGAGTTCACTTCAATACAAGAAAATTAAACAAATTTTTTGATCATCTTGGTGATCAGTGATAATCTTGTTAATGACTCACCAGACTCATAATTACCACTACTTACAACAGGACTAAATCACTGTGTATAGGACTCTCTTTGCTGTGTCTGAACTGCCGGGCTTCATTTGGCTGCCAGGACTCAGCTGGCTGCACGGGAAATGTCTGCTTTCTGCTGACTCAGCACAGACTAAATGTAGAAAACCTTCAGGGTTTGGGACAACAGATGGGGCCAGAGAAGGTCAGGGTGAGGTCACGTGGGGTCACAAGGTCTCGCTTGACAGGTCCGGCATGGAAGCGACTGACAAGTCTTTGACCTATTTTAACATTACGCTTCAAACAGCAAGTTCAAGTGGCTGCGGGAAGATTTGTCCCGACTGTCCATGAAAGACTGAAATGTCAAGTGACAGAGAGGGAATAATGGATGGTAGCATGAAGGCGCATACTCATTTATATTCTGGGGGATGTCTGCTGTGGCATTTTCTGCTTCTATTATAATTACACTGTAAATCTGTAACATGAGATCTTCAGTTTAATGAAATTATTTAGAGACAATCTTATACACTTTGCATGTGGTGTAATTCTTGACATGTCAATTGGTTTTGAGAGGAGTTTTTTGATCTGATCTTATGACTTCGTGTTCAGACATATATTGTGCCTGTCTGCATGCTGTTGACAATTTTGACATTTTGGAGCAAATCACTCTCCATTTACTGCCTGTGCAAAAGGAAAAAGCCTCCATACAGGTCTTGCTGAGCTTTGGTCATAGTTTGTTTTTATTAGGAACAAGTTTAGTAGGTGGTAGGTATTTATATAAACCAAAGCAGTGGACTGGTGCTACATGGAAAGTCAGAGGATCACCAAGGTGACTACAAGTCATCCTGAGAATCATGAATATCTGTACCCAATTTCATAGCAATCCATTCAACAGCTGTTGAGACATTTCTCTGAAAACCACAAATGTGAACCTCATGGTCAGTTGGCTTCATCCTCTTTCGACCATGAACGACTATAGAAAATTTTATGACAAATCTAACAGTTATTGAGATATTTCAATCTGGATGAAAGTGGTGGACCAAACTGACATTGCCTGGAACCAAGCAGCTAGCATGGCTAATAAGACTAGACTATAAAAACACCAGTAAAAAGAATGAAAACTCTCCAAGGAGAGCAAAATATAGCAAAACTATTTAACATGTCCTAGCGGAAATGAAAGCACTATCAGTAAGAACAGCCTGTGTAAATACTCATGCATGGATTATGGTCTGTAAGGACAGTTTTTATTTTTTATTATTTTTTTTTTTTATTTGGCCTGTGATCTGAAATCCAAACATCACAGAGGTCCCTACAGAGAGGCCAAGTCTGAACAGCTCCCTATCTCTCCTGTTTTCCTCCACAGCTTCATAGTTTTCCTCTTGAGACAGGGATGAATGTGTGAATGCTATCAACAGGGTGAGAAAGGATGAGAAGGACCTGGCGACCGTCCTCGAGTCTGAGTGTGTCCGTTTGAGACGGTGGGAGACGGAGACGGTGAAAACAAATATATCTATATAGTTTTGAATAAATCATGTCGTCATATCAGGCTTAAAACCTCATAACTCCAACTTTGAAGTTATATGAATCCTTACTCCCCACATTCAGCCACATATATTGCCTTTTGAATCCCACTGGGTTATTTAAAAATGAATGCTTGACTTGTTAGACATAAGAATTTTTTACCCGATAGCAAATATATGCCGCGTGTACGTATGTATGTGTGCGTGTGTGCACGCACTGATGTACAGTGTGTGAGTACAGCACATACACAAGGGAGAGTGTGTGTGTGTTACCGTAGCTGTTACTCTTCCACTGTGAGCAGCTTAAATCTCTGGCAGACTGATAAAGGTCAGGCTGGCATTTTAAAGTTGTGTGACAGCAGCTTTGCCATGACGAGAATAACATATCAGAGACAGAGGAGACAGGAAAACAAAAGTACTCTACAGTATGAGCTGGGAGATCAGCATGTGAAACTTAAGTTTCCTCAAACCAACTAAATCATGAGAACATCATTCAGTTATAAGACGATAAGGATGAACTCGTTTGTGGGAAACAATAAAAGCATCATATCTGTGTGTACTGTAAACAGGGCTTCTGATCTGATGTGTGTCATAGATAGATGAGATAGTTTGCTTGCCATAGGTCAAAGGTCAAGATCACAGTGACCTTGTGTTTTTGTGAAAGGTTACCGCCCACAGGGAATCACATTACATCTGACACAAACTTCAACTTGGACCCAAGGATGAACTGATTAGAATAAGGTGGCCAAAGAATGAAATGATGAAGTGATGACATTTTATACCCAAATGTCAAAGGTCAACTTCACTGTGACATCATAATGTTCTGTGAAAACACCTCTGGCCATTATTCAACGCTGTAACTCAAGAGCAGAAGGGAAGGTTGTGACCATATTTCCTGCAACTTGACTGGTTGGCAGAGGCATACAACCCTGAGGCGGTAATTCTAATTCTGGAGTAATTAATCAAAACTGGAGAGAAAGAAAGAAGGAAAAAAAACATAAGACTCATTATGAGAATTTAATAGCCACATTAATTAAAACAACGACAAAATCCGCCTATCATTGTAAAAATATATCAAGAATTAAGGGACTTATGTCTGAGCAAGATATAGAGAACCCTTTCCATGCATTCGTCCTCAGTAGGCTGCACTACTGTAATGCTGCCTTTACAGAGTCCTCACAAAGACCAGGGAAGTGGATCACGTCACTCCAGTTCTTTGAACCATCCACTTGCTTCCTGTGGAGAGATTTTTCTGATTGCCTTTTATTACATTAAATTTAGGACGTTTTATTCATAGCTTGCACTGAATTGTAGCTGTGTTCTAATTTTTACTCTCCTCTTTAATGTTGATTTTATTTTACCTTATGTTTAACTCCTACTTGTTTTACTCTTTCACATCATATTCATATGTGTCCTTGTTTATATGGTTTTTACCTTTTATGTCTTATATTAAGCACTTTTAATAGCCTTCCTGGTGAAAGGTGCTATACAAATAAACTTACATTGCCTTGGGTCTATGCAACCAACTGCCTGTGCTGTTTACAATTATGGCAGTAATACCAGTTTGTTTTATAGTCAGCATTCCAGTGATAAAATGTGAGACACCATGTGAACGTCTATATAATATTACAATATACTTTTTAAAGGGTCTTTTTACCATGATATGATTCCAAGGTTGAAAGATTTTCTGAATGAAAATCAAATGATTCATGTGTTCATCTGCAGGGTTATATCAAGAAAGCTTTGAAAAGGAATACACTTCAGATATTGCTTTAATGTCTTTATGGCTCAGGTCGGCTCCAATAGACAAATAAATTAGGCAGCTCGACTGCTTGTCTTGCTCTACAGTATCTCTCTCTCTCTCTCTCTCTCTCCCCCTCCCTCCCTCTCTGCGCGTCTGAGCCACTTTAACACACTGGCTCGGATCAGATCAGCTCCATTCACTCCACTGAGTTCAGAGCCATTAGCTTAATTAGAGACCAGACATTCAGTTCAGTGTCAGATATCTTGATCCATTGGCTACCTTTCAGATGTCCAGCTTACAGTACATACATACTGTATCATGGTGCTACTTTGCATACTGCAGTTTATACTACAGGTTATATCATAGTGACAGATATGTGCTGACTTGTGTGGAGATGGGCGAGTAACGCACTGTGACAGCGACAACATCAGCAATTCGATTCATTTTGGGTATTTGCGTGATAAAATTTTTTAGCGTACTGGCATTATAAGAAGATTGCCCTTGGTTTTAGTCACCAAACGGCACATGCTGTTATAAATACTACAACACACAACCAATGGGGGGGGGGTAAGAGTAAGCTCCCGTCTCCCTGGTAGGTGAAGCAAATCATCGTTCAGCCTCTTTGAAAGTGTCCAACCAACCAGCTCAGCAGAAGCCTCCTCGCCCTCAGCACAGCTGGACCAGAAGCAATCATTTGGCTGAAAGACTTTGCATTTGCTAAATAAAAGCCATATATCAAGCTGTCAGTACATATCGTTAACACAGTGTGTGTATATCTGTGTGCGCTCACCAGTCTCTGCCTGGACATGCATCTATCAAACAACACTGCCTCCATAAATACATATAAAACTGTGTATTGTATGTAAACATGGCCTATATGTATTATTTTTTTTCATATGCACAGACAACCATAACATAATTTATAAATTAAACAGATTAGATGGTTAGTGGTCTAATCCCCAAAACCAGATTATAGTATTAACCCTTTAAAGGTCAGACAGGAGAACAGATTGCACTCTCAACAACCCCACCCCATCGACCACCGCACACACGCACACTGTGAGCTACCCTCAATCCAGAAGGTGAAACTCCTAGATTAGTGAATTAATACTGGTGCAAAAGATAAAAGTTGTAATATTTGTGCGAAAGAACCTGTGTGTGTTTTTTTTGGGTTTTTTTGGTGCCTGCCACACCATATGACTATATACAATGTCCTGTTCTCAATGTTAGTTTAAGTTTCCTTGTATTTCTAAAGAATGACATTAACCAGCTCAGTGTTTTCTCTCCATCTGCTCAGTGTGCGGCTGTGACTTGGTGCACTCGGGTTTCTTCCATCACTCTGGAGAGTACATCTGTACCGAGGACTACCAGCGGCTCTATGGGACCCAGTGTGACAGCTGTGAGCAGTACATCACTGGAGAGGTGGTGTCTGCCCTGGGGAGGACGTACCACCCACACTGCTTCGTCTGCAGCGTCTGCAGGTAAAGGAAAAGAGTTTGAACATTTTCAGACGTGAGATGTTGTAGAACAGACAGGTAATTTAGACATTTTACAAATGTATAAAAAGAAATATATAATGTATGATAGATACAGTGTACTAGAAATGATATGCTTTTATATTATATTATATGGGCTGAGGGAGTGGTAGTGGAATTAAGATATTTCTCTCAGTGTATCTACTACATTTCACTTCTAACACCATCATTTACAGCTCTGCAGTGTGTCATGTCCTCAGGGATCCTCCTGGCACTGTTTCATCTCTAACTTGCGATGACAAAAACAACAGCAACAAATGAGACTCTCACGGGGCACCACATCCTGTGGATTAATGACTGCAAGTCTGTTCACCTACCACAGGTGGCACTTTACAAATGAAATACATTGATGTATGCCAACTGCTAGAAAGTTCCTATGTATGCGTTTTTTTTTTCAACTGATCACACACCAGAGCAGATCATCTGCACGTTGTACACTGGTGTGACTGCTGCAGCATCTTGACACTATTCAGAAGCACTGTCGGTGCTTCCTGTCATGTGCTGAAACCGGGTTTATCACAAAGTGCTTTACTGAAAATAAAAGAATGAAGGATGGGAAGACAAGTAAAGTACGATATTTGTTTACTCTGGTCACCCAGGTTTTGAATATAACAGCAAATAGAGTGTTTTATTTTGGACACGTAATTTAAAATGAATTGGAATTGTTATCTTACTAGAGAAAAAGGAACTTTAGTTATTTACTTTTCCACTAGACAATCCTAGGGCGCGTGTGAGAGACACATTTAAAAAAAAAAAAAAAAAGAAAAAGGAATGATCGAAATTGAAGCAGCTATCAGCAGAAGCAGCAGAGTGTTGGTGCCCTTTGGTGTCTACTTCCCATTAATGCAACTTGCATCTTTCAAACTCCACACCCCCAGGCCACCGGTGTTACCTGTGTATCAGAATGGAGCAGGAAGCTGAAGAAGAGCTTTGAAAAATATATTTTTTTTAAATGAAACACTTTATATGGAAGATATGCTTCATGACTGTTGGCTGGTCCCACTTTAATCATCATATGGCATATAAATCTAGTGTTGGCTTCATTTCAGTTCAGTTAAAGCTGACTGGTATAATTGTGAGTGGTAAGCAGTACAGTCCGTAGACTAACGGTCAGTCAGTGTTTGAGATGAAGAGATGGATCATTAGGTTTTAGTTTGCTTATACTAGACAGTGTTCCTGTGTGTGTGTGTGTGTGTGTGTGTGTGTGTGCGTGTGTGTGTGTGTGTGTGTGTGCGCGTGTGTGCGCGTGTACCCACTCTACTAATGAGAACACATTACACTGAGATTGCGAATGAAGCTTATTCATCTTGAAAATGGCTGAGTCAGCACATTGCTGTAAAATTGTGTCTCACGAATGATTTTTTTTTTTTTTTTTTTTGGGTCAAAACATTGACTCGGCTCCCACAACAACCTCTCTGAATACAAGTCCAAAACTCTAAAATATATAAATATATACAGCTGGGCAGTGTAGTGATACAATTGTCTGACATCTGTCATTGTAATTGTAGTGTGAGATTTTTTTTTTAATTGATTTTTTTTTTTTGTTTCAGCCCTGTTTGCTAGGAATTTGTTTGGCCAGTTATGTTTTGAGGGAGAGATAACTGCCTGCTGCCTGAATTATACCCAGTGGGAAAGTTTTTTTCTAGGGAACAAAGTGCTATGTCACCGTACTGCATGGAAGTCGTTAGGGAGCTGGCCAGCTGGATGGAAGACGTCCAAAGCGCAGGACTTAGACATCATGACTTTGACAACACTGTATATGGTTAAATTTAGGCAACAAAACAGGCTAAAATAAAACGATGCAAAAAGAAAACAGAAGAATTTCTGTGCTGCCATATCTGCATGACTTTACTGAAATGTTCTCTCTGTGTGTGTGTGTGTGTGTGTGGGTGTGTGTGTGTGTGTGTGTGTGTGTGTGTGTGTGTGTTGTTTCAGGAGTCCGTTCCCAATCGGCGACAGGGTGACCTTCTGTGGGAAGAAGTGTGTGTGTCAGCAGTGCTCACACTCTCTGAACAGCGACAAGCCCGTCAAGGTCCACGGACCAAGCTGTAAGGAAACAAACACAGACACACACAGACACACACACACACACACACACACACACACTTCTAAGTGTGTGCCACACCAATACATGCAGACACATGAAATCTTAAACTGAGCAAATGTTATGTTTCTGTAATGTGTGGTGTGTTATGGGTGATCTACCATGAGCTGTGTCGTTATTCAGAATTATTGCCTGAAATTCTGGAGCAATGCAGTACAGGCTAAAATAGAAACTGAATTGGTTCTTCATATTACCATCGGCCTTGGAGCACTGGATTGTGGGAATCTATGGGCCCTAGAGAGCACATTAGTCTTTGACCATGCCTGTGATGCTAATAATAAGTAAAACTTGTTGTTCTACATAAACAGGAACACAGTAATCACGTCTCTAATCGTCAGCTTACTGGCTTTTTTTGTGCGTCTTCCGCTGCACCTGATGGTCTTCATCAGCAAATGGAACTAGTTTTTCTCCTTTTCTAACAAGTACGAGAAACAGCTTAAAGAAACAGCCCTATACATTTTAGGTGAGTTACATGAAGAGACCCAAAACCAGTTTTAGTCCGTCTCTCAATAGTTGTTGTTTCCCCACCCCTTTTTTTTCACTCTCAGCCCCAAGGCCATTTGTTCCTTCCAAACATTTGACTCTTTAAAAATGAGTCATAAATCTTTCATCCTTTTTAAAACAGTTAAAACAAGTAATTAGCAGCCGGGCGCTACCGTTTTTATCAAACATTACCAAAACAGGAGTAAATAGTGCATTTTGTGCGGACTATTTTCAGGCGCGGATTAGTAGACAACTGGTGCTCTGGTCAGTATCTACGGCAGCAGGACAGGGTGTTTTGCGAGTGAGTCAGAATAAACTGCAGCACCCAAAATGGTAATTGAAGCATCATGTCACCCTGTGCAACACTGTGGCTCAGTGATGGGTTTGTAATCATTTTTGACACCAGTGGAGCTCAGATGAATAAGACGCAGTATATCAGGCTTTGGCCAACCTTCTCCTTTAATATAGATTAGTGTTATAGCATCAGGCGGCTACACTACAGCTAAAAATAACACACACTCTCTGGCCAGTTAGAATCAAGAAATGTCTGTGGCCGTGGCTCTGATGTAGTCGACTGATATTTAATTGAAATTAGTCTTTACTTCCTGATTCATCCAGTATGTAAGTTGGCGTTGTTCCCCCACAGGTGAAAAACACCAAAAGAGTTGTACCATCCACCCACTGAACGCTGCAAAACACAGCCACCTTCCCTGCAGCTACACACACACACACACACACACACACACACACAAACACACACACAGACACAGAAGGTGGCCCGCTGCTCCAGGTAGTCTTGTGGCCTGGTTCTGGTAGCTCCATCTGGCGAAGGCAGTGTGACTATCACAACAGGATAGAGAGGGATGACGAGGAGAAAGAGAAGGAGAAAAGGAGTGATGAGAGAGGATGGCAGAGCAGAGAGGCAAGGACAGAGAGGAAGGATGATGAATGGAAAAAATGTTGAAGCTGCTCTTATCTTAATTGTGTGTTCTCTCATCACTGCATTTCCTCCTCCTCTCCTCTCCTCCTCTCCTCTCCTCCTCTCTTCCTTTCCTCTCCTCTCCTCTCCTCTCCTCTCCTCTCCTCCTCTCCTCCTCTCCTNACACACACACACACACACACACACACACACACACACACACACACACACAAACACACACACAGACACAGAAGGTGGCCCGCTGCTCCAGGTAGTCTTGTGGCCTGGTTCTGGTAGCTCCATCTGGCGAAGGCAGTGTGACTATCACAACAGGATAGAGAGGGATGACGAGGAGAAAGAGAAGGAGAAAAGGAGTGATGAGAGAGGATGGCAGAGCAGAGAGGCAAGGACAGAGAGGAAGGATGATGAATGGAAAAAATGTTGAAGCTGCTCTTATCTTAATTGTGTGTTCTCTCATCACTGCATTTCCTCCTCCTCTCCTCTCCTCCTCTCCTCTCCTCCTCTCTTCCTTTCCTCTCCTCTCCTCTCCTCTCCTCTCCTCTCCTCCTCTCCTCTCCTCCAGACTGTGCAGGCTGTGGCGAGGAGATCAAACAGGGTCAGTCTCTGCTGGCTCTGGAGAGACAGTGGCACGTCAGTTGTTTTAAATGCCGAACGTGCGGCTGTGCGCTCACTGGAGAGTACATCAGCAAGTAGGTGGCTTGATTCCCCCCCCTCCCTGTCTGTACATTTTTAAGCGAATATCAAAGATTTCCTCGAGATATCCACATCCTCTCTTTTGAAAAGCTAAAATCGCTGCTTGTGTGTGGGCTGGTAAATCTGAAGCCTCACAATAATGATAATGAACTTGCTTAAAACTCCTTCAGTATTTGTTCAACTGGTAGTGTCAGTGAAATATCGTGTGATACTTGAGGAATCTGTTGTTTTTGCTCCAGCTGATTGAGGATAAAAGACAGTGGCCAGGAGGTAGATTCCAACTGACTACAGTTTCCTCTCTGTCTCTGGCAGGGATGGGAAACCTTACTGTGAGACCGACTACCACACACAGTTTGGGATCAGGTGTGAGGGCTGTAACAGGTACATCAGCGGCAGAGTCCTTGAAGTGAGTGCATTTGTCCATATTCATAGACATGTGTGGTTTATGTGACGGTCTATGCTTAAGACAGATGGGAACGAGAGGAAGAGACAAGTGTGGGTTTTTTGTGCATGTATGAAAAAAAGTGTGTGTCTGCCTATAAAAAGCTGCAAAAAAACAAACCCGCAGCTGTCCCTCTTTAAATGACTGAAGTGTTGACTGGTGGCAAAGCAGCTTTGGAAAACCAACAAAGCAACGCTCTCTCATCTCCTCTACCCTATTCATTCCTTTCTTATCACGCCTCTCCCCATTCTTCACTCCTCATTGTTTTTCTCTATTTCTTATCGCCACTCTGTCCTCGTTTCCTCATTTGTGTCATCTGCTCTCTCTGCCTTATTTATTTTTTCTTGCATCTTCCTTTCCTTTCCTTTCTTTTCCACCCTTTCTTCTCCTCCAGGCTGGAGGGAAGCATTACCACCCCACCTGTGCCAGGTGTGCCCGCTGTCACATGATGTTCCTGGAAGGAGAGGAGATGTACCTCACAGGTGAGGGAAAACAATATATATATATATACAGTATATATACACTATATTTAAAACTGACAGAGTAGATTTTTTGTTTTGTGAATAGACTGTGGGCACACAAAGGTGCTTCTGCAGTGTTGTACAGCTAACAGGCATAAAAATAGACTTGTATCATCTATTGAATTAGCCGTTCCCTCCAAGTATCCAGATGGCCCGAGTGTTTCCACTGCATCTGTGGAAGAGTGTGCGTGTGTGTGCGTGTGCGTGTGCGTGTGAGACGGCGAGTCAGAGAGAACTAGGATACAGCCACCTGATAAATGGCTGCTTTTAACAAGTACCGCTATATAAGTTATTGATCTCACATGTAACACTCATTACTACTCTCAAAGACACACACACACACACACACACCTTCCCCCATCTGATGTTTTCTTGATACACACAAAGGCTGGAGTCAATTACCTCTCAACCTTCGCCCCTGCTGCTGTGTCCATTATTCTGCGCCACCACTGACAGAATTAATCTAAATGAAAGCGGCCGACCGCCCGAGGTTTAAATTGTTTTCTCTTTTAATTAAAGTTAATAAGCTCAATCATGGATTGAAATACAGGTTGATGTGAGGACACTTGTGAGGTTACTCAGCCAAATGTCCCACACATCAGATTCACGATCATCTATTTTGCATTAGCAGTTATGTTTAGGAAGAAATGTGCTGTGATATCAGCTGAAATGTTTCTATAGAACTGCATGTAATATGCAAAAATATGATAAAATGGATTTATTAAGTTACAGTGCAATAAAAAAGTGTGATGGTCACATGGAAATAAAAACAACATGTTGAGATTGGGGTGGTGGATGGTGCATAGACATTTGCCTTTAATCTTTGAGTCCTATTTTTACATCCTGTCTCATGTCAGTGTTAATCGTCAGTGAAATTAAATTATTCAACCGTGACCCTTGTCTTTCCTTGACCTTAGTCCTAACCACACTTTTGGTTACACACTGTACATATTCTGTGTATTGTACGAATAACCAGTTCAAACTGTTGGTTGTGAATACGTTTGCACATAGATATGATTTAAACATGAAGAAAAATGAGCAGCACTTCCGTGACAACATGAAGTTAATGCAGATTAGAACATACTGTACTGTACAGGCCACACCTGAAAATAAATCTGACCTGTAGGCATGAAGGTGGAATTGAAGAAGAAATTCAAATAGTACCACTAAAGGAAGCGCAGCACCCTGAGCTGTAGGTGTATAAAGACATTTTGTGTAACACAGATAACTTGGCCCGACTGGGCTGAATCCAGATTAAATGTGCAGCTACTGTACCGTCACACGTGGCTGACACACACTGTGTCCCAGAGTCGCCACACAGGTTGACACCTCCTGTTTCACCTCATTGACATTCCGCTGCTGCGCTCACAGCCGCCACTAAAACCAAGCATTTGCATATTGTACTTGAAGTCTTTGTGTGTGTGTGTGTGTGTGTGTGTGTGTGTGTGTGTGTGTGTGTGTGTGTGTGTGTGTGTGTGTGTTCATTCTAATCTGTAAATACATGTGAGCGACATCCTCGGTGTATCTACTTGAATACATGTTTGCACATTTGTGTGTCTGCATGTGAAAGCAGGTGTGTGTGTGTGTGTGTGTGTGTGTGTGTGTGTGTGTGTGTGTGTGTGTGTGTGTGTGTGCGCGCTGAGCTCCAGTGAGATGCCCCAAGGTTACATTCCCTCCTTTTGATGACTTCAGACATGTAGGAGGGCTGAGCAATCACCCTCGTGAGACACACTCAATTACGACACACACACATACACACACACACAAGGCGTGCACACACACTCTTGCAATCAATTTCATGATGCATGTCCGGAATAAAAAGTGGTGTATGTGCGTGTGCGTGCGTGTGTGTGTGTGTGTGTGTGTGTTGGAGAAGGGAGTGGAAATTAGGAACTGAATGAACAGATTGATGTAAATAGTTTGATCATCGTCTCATCAATCAACAATCAACGGAGTGAAGATTCAGTGTGGAGGTACTTCACCTCCTGTTCACTGATTTCAAACACCTCCACTATGTTCTCAATGACTTTGACAGAACTCAGGCTGCAGGTCTTGGCAGGTGTTGTTGCTCAGGTGGTGCAGATGTTGAATCTCATACCTTATTCTTGCAGGGTTACAGCTGATGATATGCAAAAAAAAAAAAAAACATGATTTCAGTTGGAATGGTCTTTTTTACATTTAATCTTCACTGGAAAAAATACAGAAATGATGTGGATGTGATTCTTGCTGGAGCTTGTACCAAACAAGCATGTTACTTTATGTCTGTAAAATATGATTTGTAGGCCGGGGCGTCTCTGTAGCCCCAGAACGCTTCGTTTATGGTATGTTGCGGCACATTTTACCTTTATCAAATAACTTGCAGCTCCGACGATTTGGATATTGCACCTGGCCGTATTGCTTTTTCAGTAATAGTTCACCTCTAACTGCAGCTAGAAATTACGACCATTTGTGATTAAACTACTGTATCCTTTTTTTAATGGCCTGCTACAAGTTACCAGAGTCCAAACTGACATAAGATTTTTCCATTTTAGCAGCTCTAACCAGCAATTAAGCAAATATACATTGACTGGTTTCAGGCTTATTAAGATTTACATGCCATCAAACCCGTTGAGGAAAGGAGCCAGCCCTGTGGTCAAAAATATATTATAAGCCAAAAAAACAGTGTCTGTATCATTTCGTTAGAGTGAAGAACATTTATTTGGTTCTTAATTTGACAGTTGAAACTTTCGGTTGCATCTCTGACTACAGTTGACTGATTAGCTGCGCCAAAGAAGATTTTTCTGCTTTCATTTTATTTTTTATTTTTTTTCTATTGAAAAGTATGAAGTGCACTCACGCGCTCGTCAATGATTCACTCACCTTCCCCTCTTTTTTTACTTTCTCAACAAATACTCAGTATAAAACATGAAGGCCAGCGGACACACAGCACGTATCTGAATGGAAACATCAGCCTTGCTGCTGTTTCTCATGGCAGCATGATTCAGCAAAAAGCAAAAAAAAAAACACCTGAGGCCATTTAAATATCTGCAGCTTTATAGCATGTAGCATTAGAATTTCAAATAGCGTGAGCACAGATGTCAGTACTGTTTCGCTAGATTTACACTGGCCGCCTTCTTCCTCTCTTTTGAATATCACCGGTCAAGATAAGAAGGTCAGTTCGGTCGATCGATTAACCTCGTTTTGCATAAAGTTAAGACGAGGAGAAAAATAAAAGTCTGCCTAAAAATAGCTAAACATAGCAACACTTTCCTGTGTGAGCATGTAGGGGAAAAAATAAAAGACAGAGGCACTCAGGAGTAACATCTGAAGGATTATCTTGTGTCAAATTTTAGTCAGCTAATTTTCTCAGAACTGATTTCGTCTCTGTGTTTTGGATCGAGCTCCGTTCCTCTGCGCCATTTAGATTCTCCTCATCCGGGAGATAAAAGATCCCAAGTCCAAGGCCATACATCTGTTCGGCAGCAAAGATGAGGAGCGTGGGCAGGACGGGGGCGCACTGAATCACCACGCATGGTTTCTGTCTACAGTATTGATTTCGTGCGCGGGTGTGCGTGTGAGTGTGTGTGGTTGTTTGCGTGTGTGTATCCTACTTCTTTTTGCCCCTCTCTCTCTCTCTCTCTCTCTCTCTCTCTCTCTCTGTGTGGTGTGCAGGTCAGATTTATGGTGTTGATAGTGGTTGTATATTAGAGTCATGATCAGCTAACTGGCTGGCCTGCATTGCCCCAGGGCCTGAGAAAATGATACAGAGTCAGCGAGTGTGTGTGTGTGTGTGTGTTCACAGCGGATATATTAGCGTCATTATCACTATCAGATCCACATGCATATAACATCCTGACATTAGTGGTTTACTGTTATGAATAAGATCTACTATAATAGCCTTCATTCATCCCCTCTGTGCTCGTCTGCTCTACACTTTCCTCCTCCTCTCCTTCCTCCTCCTCTCCTTTGACTTTGACTTTGTTCTTTCCTTTTCCTCTGTTCTGTCTCTTCTCTCTCAGGACACCTCCTTCATTCCTCTTTTGACCTCTTGTTCTGGATTAATTCAATTCAGTGAAAGTCAGAAAGCGCCTTCTGCAAAGCGTGATGTTGCTAACGCAGTCCTTCTCTTTATCATGCTTGTGCACAGACTATATTGCCAAATTATAAAAGAATAAAATAATAAAATAATACAGAATGAGTAATATTGTACTTGTACTGCATGAACATATGCTCTGTCTTGCCTGTCTCTTTCTTTCTTGCTCTCTGTCTCTCTCTTACACAATGACCGAGGATTTAGGCTTGATTTTTCACCCGAGTCATTTGTGTCATTCAGCATAAAGAAAAGCAGCTCTCTCTCTCTCTCTCTTCCTCTCTCATCTCTCTCTCTCTCTCTCTCGACCCTCGACACTAGATCAAAAGTGAGGGGATCATCAAAGTCAGGAGGATTCATTATCTTATGGCCGTGAATGTTTGCACAAAACTGCACTGCAATCCATCCAGTAGTCGTTGAGATATTTCAGTCTGGACCAAAGTGCCGGACAGACTGACATTATCATCCCCAGAGCCGCGCTGCTGCATGGCTAAATATTCTCTTTGTCTCCGTCTTCCTCTTTGTTTATCTGTGTTGGGAGACCAGAAGACTTACATCCTCTATCCTCAGACCAGACACACCGCCTCCACAGGGTTTACACCCTGCCTCCCGTGTGTGTGTGTGTGTGTGTGTGTGTGTGTGTGTGTGTGTGTGTGTTTTGTTGATTGATGTTGATGCACTTGAGAAAGGCTGATCTGCTCTTCATAGGATCCCATAAAACTGTGACTGCTGCCCACACGCAATAAACAAAGTCGACTGAGCTAAAATCATGTATTTGTGTGTGTGTGTGTGTGTGTGTGTGTGTGTGTGTGTGTGTGTGTGTGTCCAGGTTCAGAGGTTTGGCACCCCATGTGTAAAGAAGCAGCTCGGCTGGAGAGAAAACTGAGGGTGAGTGATACTAAAATACCAGCCGCCCCCGCCTCCTCTCTCTGTTTCTGTTTCTGTCCTCTGTGTTCCTCCTCGTCTCTCTGTGCCTCATATTTTCATTCTTGGTTTACAAGCTACGTGACATTGTTCTTTGCATTTTAAGAAACAAACTAAAACAAAGCAGCCGTCAGTATTGTTTTAAAGAAAGGTTTTCTGTCTCTACTTTTTTTTTTTACCTTGCCCTTCACTAATAAAATGCTTAAAAATGAGATGTTATGCATTTGATACCATTTGATATATTTTACAATATCACAGTTTACACAGGAGAGACAGAAGAGTTTCCAAACTAGTCTTGTAGCTTTATTTGGCAGAGCCTTAGAAATAGTCTTGTTTTCAAAAAAGCATTTTATTGAAATATTTATAAGGGCTGTACTTTTGGCAGCTGTCTGCCAGCAAGACAGTGTTGTCATGAAAATGCAAAGAATTCGATGTGGGTTCATCACATGTTGTTGCCGGTTCACACCTGGATTTGGAAAAATGCATTGTGTATTAACCAGGAGACAAACTGCTGTTTAGTGATAATTATAACAATTAATTAATGAGTTAGTAATTACAAAAAAGAAAAAACTGTCTATTACAGTCTTTGTCTCATTGGTTATCTTATCTGCTTGTCATTATCATCTTTGTATTGAAAGTGACGTTATTTACCCAGTGGCATTAGCAGGCAGGAGGTCTTATTGTAATTCATGTCAGTATAGTTCTAGTTACACTGTAAAAGTGTAAAAAAAATAAATTAGGCAACCACCTGCAAAGTCTTTGAGTTTAACTTCAGGCCCAGCCAATTGTTCTATATTATTGTCTATGTTAATTTTACCAAACTTACTTATTGCTCGTGTTGCTTTTACTTATTGCTGTAAGTTTGGCACAAAGGTTTTATTAATAAGAGCTGACTCTTTTCCAGTAAAGTACTTTTTTTTTGCCAGTAAAGTAGTTTTCAGTTTTTAATTTCAATTGCACATTTAGTCAACACAGGCCTACTGTGAAACCTCTGAAGTGGCTCCACAACTTAAATACACAAGTTAGCAGACACACTTTGTAGTGAAGTTATCAGGACTCACACACTTTCACTGAAGTCCGAGACTGACTCGCTCTCAACTAAAATTTGTACTTTAAATGGTGCAAAGCTATATTTCTAAATAAGTCTGAACAACTTATAATCTTTGTTTATGCCAAAGAATATACAGTAAGTTTGTGTTTTTGCAGTGAATCCAATAAAAAATAAATATTAAAGAAAGATCATTATAGCAACTTGCTGTTGCTTAGAGATGAGATTTTTATACTATGTCAAATCAGTGATAGTGTCAGACGTACTTAATTGTGTAACATTGTGGATGATGTTTTTATTATCATTATCATTTCTTCAAGCTGTTGTATCTGACCTTTTGACCTCGAGCTTGATCTGACGTTTGTCCCACCAGCTGAGACGTACCTCTGAGACGGCGTCCATTTCTCCTCCAGGCTCCTCGCCTCTCCTCGGATCTCCTCACCGGCTCATCTGTGTGAGTAGCTGTCGTCACCATGGTAACGGCAACACCGCCATAGTTATGCCCCTCGGCTGTCACTGTCATAGCCATCAATCAGATATAACCGACAGAGACAGAACCTCGGATTTCCCTGAAAGCTCATTCTGTCTGCGCTGTCTGTCTCTGAGCAGAGTTTCACATCTGTCTGTCTGTCTGTCTGTCTGTCTGTCTGTCTGTCTGTCTGTCTGTCTGTCTGTCTGTCTGTCCACTTCGCTATTAATACTGGGGTGTCTGCAGCGCTTTACAATGTATTATGAGTAATAATAATACATTTAATTTTAAGGCCTTTAATTACAGCTGTACCATCATACTCAAAGTTAAAAGGTGTAAACAAAAATAGAAAGTCTTTATACAGGAAACTGGTCTTAAAATGTATTTACATTGTCATCAAACGGGCCTTCATTGTGTGTATGTGTGTCTTGTCTCCCAATATGTCTGTCATCACACCTCTTTGGATTTTGTCTCCCTTGGTTCCTTCCTGTGTTTGTGTCCAGTTTTCTGTTTATGACGCAGTTTCCTTTAACTCTCTCTCTCCCTCTCTCTCTCGCAGTCCAAGGCTGACGGTGATGTTTTGGACTATAAGCAGCTGGCGGCTCTGCCCAGGGTCAAAGCCATATATGACATCCAGCGGCCTGACATCATCCCTTATCAGGCCGACCATGCGCACACACACCTCACAGACGACGCTCTTGAGCGATACAGCTGTGGACAGGTACAAACACATATACACAAACACACAAACACACAATCAATACGACAGTAGCGGCACTGGGTGATTCTGAGTCTGACAAAAATCAGATAAAAATGACGTTCACTATAACTCTCGCCTATAATAATCAATAATGAGAGATATTTTTCACTCCCCCTCTTCTCCAGTCATTGAGCTCCTTATCGCCGTACTCTCATGTAAGTACTCCACCCTCTTCACCTCTCTATCCAATGGATGACATGACACGTGTTATGCAAAGAGCAGGGAAGGATGTAACACGTGCTTCTGTATTTAATCAATCGATCATAACTCTTAACATTTAAAAACAGTGAAGTTGACTGTGATGGATCAACTACCTGTAGCAAGGATCAGCACTGATACTGAGCTGAGCAGATAGTGAGATGCTGGTAGATGTAGTTTTTAACCTTCAGACAGAACCATGCTAGCTGCTCTTGTCCCACAGTTTCTAGTGACTCTGCTTAACTAAGCTAACTTCCTGCTGGCTATAGCTTCATATTTATTGCACAGACATGAGCATGATATTGATCTTCTCATCTAACCTTTAGAATTAGTGTATTTCCCAAAATGTCAAATCTTCCTTCATAGTTAAAGAGGCTATAACTCTCAAAAGAAAACACTGTGGTTCTTTTGCACTCACAGTTTGCACTCTTTCATCTAAACTGGTTATAACATTCACACTGACCACATATCCTGCATACGTGTGTGTGTGTGTGTGTGTGTGTGTGTGTGTCTGTGTGTGTGAAAGCAGGTGTATGTGCGCTAAGAGGATTGCTAGCAGCACATGCACAATATAGAATATTAAACAGTTCTGGAAGTGATTAAAATTGTGTTTTGGAAGGACCCTGTGTTGTCTAATGAACTGCATTTAGTAGATGAAAATAGACAGCCTCTCCCTCTTTCTCCCTCTCTCTCTCTCCCTCTCTCTCGCTCTCTCCAGGATGTTTTGGACGGCGTGGAGCTGAGAACGAGGCGTTCCTCCAGCTCAGCCTTCACCGACTCCCCTGCACACAGCCGCCACGGAGGATCCCCACTGCATTATTATCTCCCCGGTAATGCGCCCACTCAACCGAAGACACACATTCACACATACAGTGCATACGTGGAAAACATGAGGTCCTTAACTGGCAAGATGCACTAGCTCTATGTGTGGGTGCAGCAGGGTGTCATGTCCCGCTTTGGAGCCTCAGAATTCCCAGCAGCACCCTCAAAAAACACAGAACACACCCAAACACACCCATATGTAGTTCTTCAGCTTATACACGAGTCGGTCTCTCTGTCAGCAGCCTGTCTGTCTTTCTGCTCGCCGACGTTTTGTGCCTCATGCTTTGGTTTCTCTCACTGTGATTGGCTGCGCTGACTGCAGGCAGTGAGAGTGGCAGGAGTTCACCCTATTACAGTCAGCCAGAGCCCAGGTGTGCTACACCCACCACCACCCTCCAAGCCCCCAAGCATTTCCATGTGCCAGGTAGGCCGTCATCCGTGACGCCGATACTAACCCGAACCTCCCCGCGTCAGACCGAAACCAACTCACCCTCCGAATATTCACTGTCCCTGCACCTTGTATGTCGTCATCGTAGACACAGCTAAGACTCTAGACTAATCATTAATCATCTTCCAAACCCCACCTATTGTCATGATTTGATGTCACGCCAAAACAAACACCCTAACTCACATCCTGACCCACGACCAGCGTGAACTTTCCATCTGACTTTGATGATTTCACATTTTTATTGGCTTTATTATACGAGCTGAGGCAATTAGTCAGTTGCAGGAAAATTACTCAACAATGATATTGATTATTATTAATTTTAAGATGCCAAAACGTTTGCTGGTTCTAGGTTATTAATTATGAGGATTTGCTGCTCATAAAATATCCTTTGCTTTTTAACTGAATATTTACTTATTGTACAGCCTGAATTCTAATTATGATAACTGAGAAATTCATTGGTCATGAAAATGATCGTGAGATATTTTAATGAGGTCTTCACAAACATAAAAATGTGCAGTAGTTATCCTCTCCTCGGTGTTCTCCAGCGGGGAGTCTCTGTGTGTAATTGATCTTACTGATCTGGAGCTTTTGAGCCCTTTAATCTAACAGCTAATACTGGTTCATTTTATTTAAACACTCCATCAACCGTCCACTTTATCAACTTAATGCTTCCCTCCTCCCCGAAAGTTTCACTCTGTCTTTGTTCCCTTCACTTTACTTTCCCCCTGCAAACCGTGCATTTGGTTCCCCTCCATCATTCCCTCCTCCCGCCTTCAGTCCATTTCTCACTGCATGTTCCCTCTCTGCGATTCTTCTGAGGCTGTTATTCCTTGCCAGCCCTGCGACAGCACTCCCCTCATGCTTTTCAGCACGGAGCAAAATATATTAGGTGGATGCTTTTATCCCGCGTGCCTTACAGTATCATGAGTGTGTACAAATTTAATGTGGTTGGCCCGTTGGGAGTCAAACCTCCCAACTTCGTAGGCTTGGTGGCTCGCTCTGTGCAGAATTTGGAAGCATTTTTTACTGTTTTTCTTCTTTAATATGTTGTTGCTTTATTGCAGGTTACAACGTAACGTTTTAATTTTCTGTAATATGTTGTTGTGGTGCGCTTTCAGCACTCAAAGCTGAATGATTATACAGAATACACCAAATGAGAGCTGCAAGGCGCCATGTGCTCCCCGTCGTTTCTAAGTTTCTCCCTCTCCTCCACTTTATCTTTCCCTTTGCCTCTTCATCCAGCCCTCTCTCTCCACCCTTCAACTGCTCTCCTTCCTCTCTTTTATTCCTGTGCCATCTGCTGCTCTTTCCTGTAATAAGCCTGTGAATCGGCATTAATCAGCCTCTCTGCACGTCGCTCAGGTTGTCTGGATGCACGACGCCGCCTCCACCATAGCAGTTTATTACTTGTGCTGTCAGTTTTATGGTTAAGAAGACGGTAAATGTACACAACTAATTTGGTGGGACGCAGATTACGCCCATCCCCTCTCCTCTCCTCTCCTCTCCTCTCCTCTCCTCTCAGTCTCCTTCCCTCCTCCTTCTTTTATCTTTCTGCCACTAACTCTCTCCTTTTGCTTCTGTTCTCAGCTTCTGAGGAAACCAACATCTACAGGAAACCCCCCATCTATAAGAGACATGGTTAGTCGATTCCTCAAACTGCTGCGTGCTTTATATATATCTTTTGACAGGCTGTCCACCTGTCAGCCAGTTGGGTGCTGCGTACATTGTCAATGTGTCCTTACTATGAAATGTGCTTCTGCTTGTCTGACTTAATCAATCAGAAAAGATCTGAGCTAAAGCTGAAATATACTTTCTCTCCGTCTAACATCTGGTGCTTCTGATGACATTCAGGCCTTCTCTCCGGCTTGTATGAAAAGGGAGCAGTCAGAGAAGGGGAAAGCATTTTTCTCTACGATCCCGTGTAGGTTTGGTTGCAGGCTCCGTCGCAGAGTTTATGGAGGGCAACTGGATCGTTTGAACAGAAGACCAGATGGTCCAGGTTTAAATAATCATCTCAGATTCTGCTTTTTGACTTTCTGTCTACTGCAGAAGGTCCTAACATGTAGAGCTGAACGGATTGGCCATCATCAATTTTGATAAGCAATTCATTGTTTTAGTAATTTACTAAGAACGAATTCTCCTGGAATGTGTTCTATCATTTAATATCACATATGTTGGTCAGACAAAATAAGCCATTTGTCACCGTCTCTTTCCATTGATTAATTGGGGGAAAAAAAAACAACAACACATGACTGTTATGACAAGGGAGGCACATCCTTATTCAGTCATCCGCTGTAACATTACTGATCCACATTAATACAGTTTCTCTGTCAGTGACATTATGAAAGTCAGTGTTTCTGCTGCTGTATCAGCTACATTCATTCAGTCACAGCGGGCCACAGGAATCCCTGGCTCCATATTCAGTTTTGGAAAATAAGATGACTTCATCTGATCATAAAAGAGAAGAGGTTTGATCTTTCGGTCCCTAATTATGACTGTGACATTCACCAGACATCACGTCCTTTATTATCCGTAGTGTGAATAAAAGTTTGATAAGGCTAATTTGGCAAAACTAAGATAAGATAAGATACGATTCGATAAGATAAACGAAGCTCAACTAAACTAAACTAAAGAAGTATGGACTATGGATGTGCAGCTTGATAGTTTTGGTCACATCAGAAGTGAGATTACAGATTCAGTGGGTGATTCAAGAGGTGATGTAAAACTGAGAGAGGCAGTGCCAAATACTGCGAGTGTGTGGGCGATCCATCAGCACTCTGATGGCAGGTCCGACAGACTTACAGTTCCTCAGAAACACCTCTGGATGATTTACGCCGAGCAACAAAGTGCTGACAAACCTCTCTCTCTCTCCCTCTTTCTCTCTCTCTCTCTCTCTCTCTCTCTCTCCCTCTCCCTCCACGGTCTGAGGAGGCAATCTGTGATCTGGTCTGTGTGCACGAATTTAGATTTACAGCATGAATCACTTACGGAGCAGTTTTCATATTAGTGCGCCATAATCAGGCGTATATACTGGTTATTTAGTGTCCCGGTGTATGTCATAGTCAAACCTGGGTGCACCTCAAATACACAAAGCTTTTCAGAGCTCCTCAAGGACGTGTTTGGTTCTACTACCAGAAGTGACAACTGAGAACAATAGTGGAGAATAAAAATCCATGTTATCTGCTTGATGTTTTTTCCTCTGGTGCATTTCATCAGGGTGTACATAAGGTCGCCTTAGCCAGAAACACGTATGCATTGCATCTTGCATCTTATCTGCATGTTACACATGAAACAGTGAAGAATGCATTTCTCCCTGTTGAATAAAGACATAACTTCCTCTCAGAAAGTCACAGATGGGGGCTGGATCTCAGCTGAATTTTCCTGTCCAGTGTAAGTTTGTCGAATTGATGCATCCACAGCGTTGTCGAAATATGACCTTTGCTATATGTCACCAACTCTCCTTCTCTTAATTTCCCTGTCTCTCTTTTCACAGTCTAATTAAAGATAAAATGCCTTCAGCAATTTTCTTTTTAAACGTATTTCACACCACAAACCACCGTCCTACCGGTTGTCTGCGTTATTGCAGTCCACCTTTGATAACCTCGCTTCCTTACTGGAAGCTGTGTATCAGATTCCATCACATTTCTCTGACCTCCTTTCTGTTCTCTGCTTCCTTGTTTTTGATGCGTGTCCTCTCCTCCTCCGTCCCTCCCCCCTCCCTCCCGCTGTGCCCTCCCCTCTCTGTAAGTAAATGCACTACTTTGTCCGTGTTATTTCTCTTTCTGAAGACGAACTCTCTCACACTCACGTCGGTCGAACAGTAAGATGTTTTAGGGACCAACAAGCATCGTCCCGTTGCTGCCCCACTGTTTACTCTTCCCTTCCTCAGAGCCTGGTTGTTGTTTCAAACTAGATGAGGTTCTGTCGTCACAAACCGAGTGTAGAAAATGTCTCCTTATTAAAAATACATTATACGATTTCTCTTTCTGTGATCGTCTTTCCGCCAGACGTCTCTGCCTCGCCAACAGCCAATAAGAGTAAAACCAACGAGAATCTCATCAACTCCAGTCGCCTTTCCTCCTCCAACTGTAACAGCATTTATCACCCGGGCTCCAACTACTACCCTTATACTGGCTCTCCAAAAGGTACTGCTACTTCTGCACACGCCAAGTGTGTATTCACACTAAAGCAACACACTGTACAAACACCTACAGGCATCTACTACACGTACTTAACCTGAAGAATAAGAGCCGTCATTTTAAAAAGTGAAAGTGTGAATCTTTGATGTTCACTTTTCACTTCTTTTCACTTGCTCTGTTTTACGTCCCGTCTCTGCCTTTTTTCTCCCTCCGTCTCTCTCTCTCTCTCTCTCTCTCTCTCTCTCTCTCTCTCTCTAGTCTCCAGAGTGAGGAGGTTTTCATCTGGAGGAGAGGAGGATGGATGGAACCACAATATCAACAAGGTAAGACAGGAAGACACCCTCCTGCTTCTCCCTTTTATATTTTAAGTGGGGGGTGTGTGTGTGTGTGTGTGTGTGTGTGTGTGTGTGTGTGTGTGTGTGTGTGTGTGTGTGTGTGTTAATATTTAATGCGGTGGTTAATTAAATGCTTTTTTCCAACCTCACCCAGTGGACATGACACAAAGTGATGCTGCTCTGCTCCCCTCTCCTCCTCCTCCTTCTTTCACCACATATTCATCCCTCTGCCTGTTCAAACAACAACCGTCACCTTTTCATGCCTCTTCCGGCATTACTCCATCACCGTGTGTCATCCTATGCATCCATTCAACTCAATCAACTCTTAATTGCTCCATTTATCTCTCCACTTGCCCATTCTTCTGTCTCTGCTTTTTCTTTCCTTCCCACTCCTTCCCTCTCTACAGGGAATTGGCAGGATGATCCTGAAGGAGGAGATGAAGGCGCGGTCAGGTTGCCACGACAATGACCAGTGGGGGAGCAGACGCAGTTCCCGCTGTAGCAGCAAGGAGGCGCTGAACAATGTGGGCTACAGCTCCCTTAATGGCTGTAAGTCTTGAGTGTGTGTGTGTGTGTCTCTCTCTCACCTCTTGAATATGTCAGTGCCTTGGTCTGGTCATGTTGTCTGCATTAGAGCTACGCTGATAAACCTGCCATGTATTGTCTGATGTTATCTTATTGGTCATATTCTGTTGTCAGAGTATAAGTCAGTCGTTAATAACAAGAACCTGCATTGGAGAAAAACTAATTAGGTTTGAGGTGATTCAGAAACAGTGTCACCATTTTTTTTTTTTTAAACGAAGGGATCTGTATCAAGATCGGTTGTTTATGGTATATGTCGACAAATATATTTTGAAGTCAAATATTATCAATGTCAGCCTCAAAAATGCTATGTATTGTATAAATTCCCTTTTAATGTGTGATGTCTTCTTGCCGTGGGTTAGGCCCAGGGGGTTAGTTATCAGGTTAAATAACAGCAATGCTTGTCAGTAATTTAGTCTGTCTGTTGTTTCATTCCACCACTTGGCCCAGTCTGAAATATCTCAACAATTAGTGGATGGATCGGCAAAAAGTTCATAGTTACCACATGATGTTGCCTACTGAGTTTGGTGATCCACTAAGCTTTAAGCTAGTGGCTCCATGAGGTTGAAATTTGTGGTTCTAGGTCAAACGTCTCAACAACTCACGGATCCTCCTCATGGATGAATTGTAATAATTTTGGCGATCATCGCAGTGCAACTTTATTCCACTTAATACAGGCTATTTGTTTTGTAGAGGTCCTGCATATAATAATTCAAAGCTGTTTGTTCATGTTCTGGTGGAAAAGCCGACAAACACGCAGGAAATCATAATGACTGAAAATTATAATTTAGTAGCTTCTTTTGTGATAAATAGGTCACTCTGAACTAATGGATACCAGAGTTTCCCATACGCACATGATAGCATGGACTTAAATCTGTGCTTTTAGGAGCAGACCATGATTAAATCCTCTGCCAAAATATAAAGCAACTGTGATTCATCTCTGCAAACTGGCTTTTCAAACTTTACTTTAAGTGCGCTGAAAACGATGCGCTTGGGAAGGAGGAATCTGTTTACAGAACTACAGCAGATTCTGCTTTTAAAAAAATGACTCATGATTTGATTTGTAAACACTCAGACAGTCCAGGTGGTATTAGGGTCGAGGCGGGGCTTTAGATTCAAGGATCAGATTTCATTTGAGGTAATGGTGATGACTGGTCTGTGGTGGTGAAGGTTGGAGGTTAGGAAGTAAATACAGTCACCTTTATAGGAAGAGGACTCTGTGTGTGTCTTGTTGTGATGCTGAGCAAGCCGTAGTGGGAGGGAGTCGGAGGTGGGTGGGGTCCCACCTCTGTATTAACTCTCCCATTGATCCCATTGCTCATTGCATTCAGCACGTGTAAGGGCGAGACAAAGATGGAGAGACTCGCAGAGAGAAAGAGAGAGTGTGTTTAGGTGGAGGTCAAAAGAGAGGGTGGTGTTATAACAGGAGAGACTCAGAGAGAGCGACAGAGCGAGATAAAGAGTGAATTAAAAATAAAGAGAGAGAGGGAGAGAGAAGCTAAAGCAATTTGGAGCCGCTCAGAGAAGATGTATGACATGAAGCCAGGAGGTAAATCAGGGTCAGAGAGCAGAGGAGAGGGAGGGAAATGAGCTGTGTGGACAGGGAGGTCAGACAGAGAGAGAGGTGTAGATAATGTGGGTGTTCAGTGCTGTGTAATCACTGTGGGTTTATAGTGTCTGCTGTTATTATACTGATTAGAAAACTCCTGAGCAGTGTGTGCTTATCTGTTCTTCAGAAGAGGCTAATTCCAAGATGGGAAGTCCTGGATTTTCATATAGAAGCAACACGACCTCCTACCAAATAACATCCTGTGACTTCATTCGCTTGAACTGATTTTGGTCCATTTTTTAGCCATGTTAGCAGCACTTCTCGACAAATACCGGGTGGATTGCTGTGAAATGTTGTACATACATTCATGTCCCCTGCAGGCTGAACTGTAACAACTTTAAGGAACCTCTGACTTTTCATTTGGCGCGATCATCAAACAAAATTTCGTTTTGTTTTCACTTTGTTTAATGAGTAAATCCCCGCTCGACTAATGACATTCCTCCGTTGTACTCTGTGTTTAGTGCTAATTAGCAAATGTTAGCATGTTAAATGCTAAACTAATATGGTTGTCATGGTAAACATGCCTGCTAAAAATGAACATGTCAGCGCATGTTAGCTCGATGATGTTAGAACTGTGTTTAAGTGCAGCCTCTCGACTCAACTTTAAACTACAATGACAATAAAATGAGACATAAAAAAATCTATTCCCCATGCCTCTTCCTTATTCCTTAAGTGTGTGATTATGTTTCGTCATATTATAGGCTGATAGAAATAACTTAGTAAATCATGAGCTGCAGCACAGTCCATTAAAATTACAAAGTGCAGTGGGTGGGTGCCATAAACATATACATTTTTAACATGAGTATAAACCCTGATGCTGCATGGCTGTACCCATGTTGCTTCATATTTTATATGATGTGTAGGTCTTGATGGTGATTATGTCTGCATGATAATGCTGTTAGGGGCATATCCTCACACAGCTGATGTTTTATAGATGTCCCCCAACAGCTGGCCTTCTTTATTTCGCTTCCGCTGGAAACTCATTTCAGTTTACTGTTTGTTGTCAGACTTTTACCGTGTGGCAGGTTTGCGTACTCTACTTGACAGTTTTCACGTATTGTCTGTGTTTACACACTAATCTGCATTTGCACTCACAGAACAAAAAAATTAAGAATACGTATATTTAAGTGGCTAAAATGATATTTTTACAAATAAGAGTGAATCATGTGAATGTGAAAAACAATGTTACAATGTAAAAGAGGTCCCTCGTGGTAATGAACCAACAGAGAATCATCACCTGTATCTGCGGCTCCCCTTCGGCTTTACACGGCTTTGGAGCCGGTTGCTGTTTAGCAGCTTCTGTTCTGGTTCATTCTCACCGCTCTCATCGCATTGTTTTTGACTGCAGCTGGCTGCTGTTTTCAGCACAATAAGAACCCACTGTACACGTACACTGCCTGCTCAGCACCAAACACCACACACACACACACACACACACACACACACACACACAGAGCGAGAGACTATAGCTGTTGAACTTAGTCGAGCATTTAGCAGTAAAAGAGCCAGATATTCCCCTCAGGAGTTGGTAGAGACCAAAAACCCAGTAGAGGGAATATTGGATCCAATAGGAGGTCACACACATGACTTCAAATGAATGATAATTTATGTTCTACTGAATGTGAACTATAAATAACCAACTGTTTGTTAACAACTGTATCAATTTAAAAGAAGTGATATGTGAGTGTGTTCAAATCTTGTATCCAGGTTTTCATCCTTTAAACTACTGTTAAAGAAAGCTTTATATCTGCAGTATATGCATCAGTTTGATGCCTGCATTTATTTCATTATGTTAAATGTGTTTACTTTATCTGGAAATGAAGGGGTTTATAGTTTATATGTAAACAGTGTTGCAGTGTGATATACAACAGAATATTTTAGGTGTCTCATGTTTTTATTAACTTGAAGTCTTTTTAAAAAGTTTTAAAAACCTTTTTGGGATTTGTTCCTCAGTTTTTCCATTAAATGGTAGACGGATCCATATTTAAGGACAGCACTCGATCTCTTAACTTGACATGTTCATAACAAGTTCTTGATGAGTTTTTGCACTTGAGACATTGTCCTGTCTGTTCCTTCTTCTTATTTCTGTCTCCCCCGTATCTCACCCCTCACCACCTTGCTGTCTCTCTGTCCTCAGCTCCCCGGTCCGTCTACAGCGCAGACAGCGGTGAGTGGTTCATCAGTGTGTTTTGATCTCTGGGGTCATCTCAACACAGCGGGCCACCTTCCCCCTGATCCTCCTCATCCTGCAGGTTCTGCTGTGACAGCAGCAGAGCTTTAAGTGGGAGATCCTTATCAAGACACACTCTCTCACACACACACACACACACACACACACACACACACACACACACACAAACACATACCCCTCTTTTCTTTTGGGTCACATGAGGAATGGTGTTTTAGCTTCAGCTTGTATTTATCAGCTTTTCTTTAGCAGCAGCACTGACCCAGGATCAGTGACTTGAACCCCTCAGCCATCTGTTTCACAGCCTGCAGATTCACTCCACACTTTATGTGACTTTTGATTGTAAAAACAGATTTATTTTACGCAATCACATTATCCACACTTGGCCTTAAAATTCCTGTAATACGTCTCCTGTGGCTTGCACCATGCTTTCCTGTCTTCACCATCTCTTTATTGCCCTTGTGAGGAGGATTTAAGCCCAGTAACATCCCAGCTTGGCTTCATTTTGTTTTTGAACATGATGAAATTACATTCTTGCTCAAATAAAATAAAACTGACTAACTTGCTCCTAAACCTTAACTATGAGAATTCAAACGGCAGCTCTAACTATCAGACAGTACTTGTACTACAAAGACACTGATAAATGAGATGCTTATGCGAGTAGTTTTCACACTATTTGGCATCACTTTTTATGAAACAACTATATTTCTGAGACACAAACCATGACTCATCTATGAGACTGTATCACATTTCTTGTTGGGAGGCAAAGAGTATAGTAGATGACAAACTCATCATTGTTCAGTGGCTCACACACACTGTACAGCAGCTCGGCACGCCGGCCAATATTCTGCTGCATCATGGTGCTTGGTCTCGGCTCTTTGACATCGCTGTGTAATTTAATTCCTTTCAACACCAGCGTGAACAAGAGAGAGACAGCCTGAAGGAGAAAATAGACAAAGCAATAAAACTGAAGAGAGAGAGAGGGAGGTGCACAGGTCCGAAGAAGAATGAATGATGAAGCCAAGAAATGCAGGATAGTGAAGAAGAGGCAAGTTAAAGTAGAGGAGAGGAAGACGGGGGAGAGGTGAATGACAGGAGAGGGTTTGGTGTGACTCCACTGCCCCCTGCTGCTTCAGCTGCAGCAGTGCACAATGCAAATACAGATGCCTTCCAGAGGATGCTGGCGGTTACCAATGGTTACAAGAGAGATGCAAACATGCTGGGGGAGTGATAACAAAAGGGAAATGCGCTTGAAATAAAATCTTATTACCAGTGTGGCGTTGGCTTGGAAATGTAGCATGTTTCTGTGGGTAGATGTTTCTGTAGTTCGTGTTTGATGAGGATGTAAATCGAATCGCCCGAGGTTGAAATAGCACATCCAAACAGCTGAAACTGAAAATAGGTTAAAAGTCATCTCAGACCGCAGGTGTGGTGTTTGTAGGGATAAAGATTATATGCTTCCAAAAATGAGCCTGAATTTGCTGATATCACAGTGTGAGGTTACAGCGTGCGGACAAATATGTGCATAAATATACTTACATATTTATAACCGACTGTACACATGAAAACTTCTCCCATAATCCTCCTCTCGTCTCGTCTGTGCAAAGAGGGGAGTCCAATAGTGGCGCGTAAGATTAAATAGAACTGAAGTCGATGTGTAAATTGATATAGAGATGCAGCTATTTGTAATATATAATACCATATTTTTGAGGTTGTAAAGCACAGCTTCTTCTCAGACAAATGCAAGATATACAGAGGTACCGTGCCCCTACTCCCTCATTGAGAGTGTTTGTGTTAGTTTGTGTTTGTTGATGCTGATGTGTTTGCATTTGTTCTTGCAGACTCGTACATTGCGAAATCGGCCTCGTTGCCAGGCTATGGTAGAAATGGACTAAACAGGGTGAGCAATCATGATTTCTGGTGTGTGTGTGTGTGTGTGTGTGTGTGTGTGTGTGTGTGTGTGTGTGTGTGTGTGTGAGAGAGAGAGAGAGAGAGAGAGGGAGAGGGAATAAGACAGACATGGCCTTTCACTAAACTGTAAGTTATGGCAAAGTCCTTCATTTGCCACTGAACCTTTGAAAGTCATTTTTATCAGTTTACTTTCTGAGGCCAACTGAGACGGCAGCGAACATCTGGCAAGATATTGATATGAGATTAGATCAGTAATGTAACCTTTTATCTAATTTGCTTGATCCTTTCCCTCCATTATGATGATGAAAGGCATCGTCTTGCTAAACTGGTCTTGTTTTTCTCCAGCAGCCTGGAAGTGCTGGTGCAGATTATTACCAGTATGACAGCAGTAATGCAGTTAATTGGCAGATCAGAGGTAAGCCTGTTGTACAGCTTAAATCTACTTAACCCTAATTCTTTTAGTTTTCTCCTGATTTACTTTCCCTCCTGATGCATATTATTCAATGTTATTCGGCGTGTGTGTAGCAGAGGAATAGAGGTGTCAGTGAATGCTGCAGTTCAGATAACTCACTGCTTTATTTCTCTTCTCTTTTCTTTCAGAATACAAGGTAAGATACCCCCCCTCCTCCCCGCCCCCCACTCCCCCCATCAAAGCCGGTGAACTGTGACTGAGCTGGGAATGAATCAGTGGATAAAAGATAAGGATGATGTGTTTCCTGTTTAAGGTTCATGTTGAACGGTGAATCCATCTCACTCAGTAACACCCACTTGACCCAGTGAAAGTTTGTGAAGCAGACTGGCTCATTTTATCAGCACAGGGAAAAAAACAAAAAAAAAAGGAAAGGGTAATTGTACACACAGGGTTCATCTGACGCCTGTAGTCTAAAAGAAAAAGTCCTCTCTTTGGTTTCTCAGGGAAATCTCGTCACTGCAGTGTTTCAACACGTCATTGTGTAGGACTCATTTAAGAAAAGTGTTTAGCTCCAGCTTTTCCCGAAAGCCAGCAATCCCACCGCAATTTCTTCAGAAAAGTGTAGTCCTGCTTTATTTATTTCATTTAAAGTTTCATTTTCATTAAAGCTCTTTTTATGTAATCTTAGAACTTCATCACTTGAGATAAGAAATTCTTTGAATAAGAAAAACAAGAGCCATAAAAACATTTTTTTTCTCTTCCTTTATGGAATTTCTTTTTTATATATCTACAGTAACAATAGAGGGGAGAGTTGAACTATTTTTTTTAGCCCCTGTCATTGTTGTCATTACTGCATTCGGCCATTAGTGGGTGACACAAACAAAAAATCTGTCTGTCTTCATGGCGATGAGATAGTTAAACCAGAGTGGATTTATTGGGGTTATTTTAATTGTGTCGTTTGGATAATGTTTTAAACAACATTCAGCAAACAAACTTCCTCAGTAGAAAATTTTTTGAATGACATCATCAGAGTTCCCTTGAAGGAGCATCTGAACTCAGCTTGATCTACAGTTTCTTTATAACCACGCTGTGGAGATCCGGTTGTAAATGTTAATATTGCCGGAGACAGACAGACAGTTATCAGTAATACTGTGTCTCTCTTTGTTAGATCTACCCATATGAAGCCCTAGTGGTGTCCGTCAGAGGGCAGCAGCGTCTCCCTGGCGACGTGGACCGAGCCAGGCTGGAGGTAAACTGCTAACACAACCTGACTCTTGTATTAAATCTACTGCAGTCACGGCTGTTCCTCAACACATCAAGACACTTGGGATTTAATGACAACACAGATACGACTAAAAGCCTTATGGTTCTTGTAGCCCCCGTAGGCTGTGATGTTCAGTCTAGCCCACAATACAAAAGTGGTACACAGAGAACTTTCTGACCGTTCAAAGGCGCTAAAGAAGTGAAGAAAAGAAGGAGGGTAACCAAGAATGGTCGAATGTTCCCTGCCAATGTTTTTTTTTTCCTCTAAGCTGTATGAAAATAAAAAGAAAACATGTTTTGACTTGCTCTTCTCTCCTCACAGCGTCACCTCTCACCAGAGGAGTTCTACAGAGTCTTTGGCATGTCCATGTCTGCCTTCGACCGTCTTGCTCAGTGGAAAAAGAACGAACTTAAGAAACAGGTCCGACTCTTTTGAGAGAATGGCGTCACGACGAGGACAGTCTGACCCGGTGCAGGTCTACTGCCAAGTGTGTGCTTTGAAAAGTAGTCTCCAGAAAGGCCCACTGACCCCAGACTGACTTTTTCCTCTCAGTGGAAGAGGAACTGGCTGAAATGGAAAAAGTCTCTCTTCCCTTGAGGTGGCGAGAGCAGAACTGTTGGACCCACCACAGGCCTCCTGCTCTTGGCAACCTTAAACCGGTGTGTGCTTGGAGCTCTTCAGCAGTACTGGCCAAAATGGGTAAATTAGAGGAAGGAGAGAGTGAAGACTTCCAGACACAGCAGATAAGTCACACAGGGGCTGAAACAGACAGAGAAGTTGAGGAGTAGAGGGAGGAGTTGCCTGCTACTACCAGCAGGTGGCGGTGTGTTTACATGAGCATCTGGTCTGCCACTCGGAGCCAAGCTGCATAAAGTGAGGGAGGCAGTTTGGGAAATGGGCTTGCTTGAAGACAGACTGGCATGTTGTTGAAGGCTAAAAGGATCCAGTATAAGTCACAAACACCAAAACACTATCATCTGTGGCTCATAAGCTGACAAGACAGGTAGACCAGCATAGTGTGAAGGTCACTGAGCATGATGTACACATGGTGTTTTTATAATGTGCTAATACTGAAAACCAAAGGTTTTCTTCTTTTTTTTAATTGCTGGCATGTGTTTGATTTTGATATTTGAAGCCATATGGTTTAGAGTTGATTTCTATGACATGAACAGACTGTACAGTTCACTGAAGTGGTTTTATTGAAACGTGATGTGGTTGTAAGGTTTAATGTGAATGACCTGTGTCATGACTGTGAGCTCAGAGACGTGTTAGGTTTAGAAATCAGGTTTTAGTACTATACACTCTTTAAAATAAGATATTTGTCTTTCGCTTATTTTATTTAAAAAAAAAGTTCATACTTGCAGATGCTCTCATGAAGCAGCTCAGAATTTCATCTGCTGGATTACGATGAAATCAGACAGAAAAGTATGTGTGTGTGTGTGTGTGTGTGTGTGTGTGTGTGTGTGTGTGTGTGTGTATTTGAAAATGACTAATACAAGATTTCAATGGAAGCCCTTTGAATAGAGAAGAAGAAAACAATGGTGAAGTGAGGGAATGAAATAGGAAGAGGTGAAGGAAGAAGGGAAGGATGGAGAAAAGGAAGGAACAAGGGAAGGAATGTGCGAAGGGGATAAACAAAGAAAGATGCAAATGGAAACACTCACAAAGGAAACTGAAGAAAGATTTGAGGAGTCTCACAAAAGGAAAGTGTGAAGAAAGGATTTGTGTTTGTGATGAAACAGGTGTGAGAGATCCTGCCTGAGCTGAGATGGATTTAATAGACACAGAAGGTGCAGGAGTGTTGTAACTGAGCGTAATAGATGGAAGAGTGGTGCTCGCTCTCTACTGCAGGAACTGAAACCATGTGGAGTGTGTGTGTGTGTGTGTGTGTGTGTTTGTGTTTACAGGTCTGAAACAATCACATTTAACTAACTCATTTTTGAATTACTGGACTAACATTTATAATTTAATATCCCGTGTCTGTCACTACAACTTCTAAATAAATGATTTAAATGCCACTATTTTTTATTATTGATTCTCCTTGTTATTTATTAGTTTTCATGAATGTACATGATGATGGTTTGAATGGTGGACAGGCGTATTTGTCTCAGACTTTTGGGTTTATGGGTCAGTGGGCTGTTTACAAGGATTCAAGTCCAAATCCCAAGAATATCCAGAAGTATTTGATTTTGTTGTTATTTGTAATGTGATGTAATTTGCAGTAGTTCACTAGAAATAAATTAATGAATTATCTCGTGATAGTTTGTTACTGTTACCTTTATGGCGTATGAGCCCTTTAAGTTCAGTTCAACCAAAAAGTGATATTTTTCTAGTCCTATGGAGGAAAAATAATCCAGTAACTCACATAAAAAATGGCAACAATATAAAGTCTGGATGAAACATGATTTTGTGGCGCAGAGATATGTTTTACTCTTCTGTTAATCATTCAACCCCTGGTGGGGTCCCCGACCCTTGGGTCAGGAACCACTGTCATAGACTTTATACCCAAAATACATCAACACCTGGAATAACTGTCGACAGTCATCATGGTGGAAGAAGTGTGTTTGAATAAAAGTAGCAATGCTAAAAGCTCCATTACAAGAAAATGTATTGCATTCAAAATGTTAGTAATAGTAGGCTACGTAACATTAGCAAAGGACTCAAAATTAAAAGTATACAGTGTAGAAAAATTATATTATTATATAATCATTTCATCATTATTACCACATCATTGTTTTAGGTGTGATTTTACTGTTGTTGGACCAGGTGGAGATAATTTATATTTCTGTATATGCTGTTGGGTTGTATATCTATAACAATACATGCAATTTTTATGAGTTCATATGTTTTACATGTAAAATTTTAATTTGTAATAGTAAATAAAGCTGTCAAACAAGTGTAGTGGAGTAAAAAGTATAATATTTCCCCACCCCTGTAAAGTTGCATGAAATAGAAATACTCTGAAGTACCTCATGTTTATTCCACCACTGGCAGAAATGTCATGGAAACACAAACAAACAACATATTGGGGTTACATCTCCTCAAATGGGACCAATGTGGCCTCAACATGTGTCTCTTTACGAGTCATAGCACGAAAATGTGTGGTGAACCAAGTATTTAGTAAAATAGTGATGACTGGCGCTAGGACCCAGTGGAGCCCTGGGAGATGAAGCAGCGGCTGCCGAGTCAAACTATAAACTGTAGCGGCCACTCTGACTCAGTTGTCGGCTCAGAGGCTCACAGAGCTCCGCTGTGCCTGTGGCGGACACGTCTCACATGTGAACAACCGTAACTTTTAAATGACACTTCTAAAGGATTATTACTGGAAATACTCAGGGTGAGCCGCTGTAGCACATCTGACATGGACACCAAACGCCAGAGTGGTGAGTAACAGTCTCTCTTTATCACATATGTTCATGTGTATTCACGACAAAGAACTACAGTAAGCGTGTAGTAACTTTGAGAAGAAGCCTAATGGATATGGTCACAAAAGCGCTTCACAAAAGACAGGATTAAATGCACTAAATATTCATCACTGTTGTTGCCACTTCAAACTCACAACAACAAAGGCGACACAGTAACATTTAAAACAAAAGAGATACTGTATTTTTTGTTTTATTTGACTTATCAGTAAAAATGACAAAGGAAGGAAATGTGAAGGGAAGGTCCATCACTCAGTTTATCTGAACATGGTAAACTCCCGGTAGACTGCTGGAGTAACGGGAGAATGATGTCATACACCTTCACGCCGGTTGGCGCGCTGTGAGTGGATGGAGGAGGAGGTATCCTCGCTCAGGTAGAGTGATGCAATCTGATACCAACAGAGAAGTGCCCTGTTGGAAGCGGCGCCGCTGGAAGAGAAGCAGCGGCAGCAGCGGCAGCAGCAGCTGAATGGACGCTCTGTTCCGTCGCCTTCAGGCAACTTATTGGAAACAGGAAGCTGCATTGAATGTGACACCAGGTGATGAAGCAGTGGCAAACAGAGGATCACATGTGATTATGTTGAAAGAAACAATGAAACGGAATTAGAGGGAAAACATTCATTCATGCTTCATTAAAACAGCCAATCACGTTGCCTGCAGTTAATTGGTCTAATGAGCCAATTATTTAGGCATGGAATGAATTTCCGCAAAAATGATGTCAAGTCCTTTAAATAGAAGGATAAATGGAGGTAAAAGAAACAGCTCGTGCTAATATTAGAAACAAATCTCTGTTAAAACTGCTGACACTGTTCTAAGTCGGAGTATAAATGCAGCCCAAGATCTCCTCCACACTATTTTAATGAACAGTAGTGGGGACATCTCTCATACAGCTAACAACAATTATTATAATAATGCCATGATGTTGATGGTGATAAAGATAATAATATTTATTACACTAACTGGATTTTTTAAGTGCTTACCACTAAATGACTGCACTGTGAGTGTCCTGTTAGAGCATCTACTCATTACCAGGGATTGGCAACAGGCGTTTTCTTTTCATAGCAGGAAAATCACAGGTGTTAGTAATAACCTTAACGATGGCTGCTTTATTCAAGTGTCTCAGTAAACAATGACAGTGTGACAATTAATCACACATGTTAAAAATGTCAATGCAAAACAGGCCTATGAAACACAAGCAGCTCATACAGTATAACCAAAGGGTTTTGTGGCCAAACACTTGTGCAGCTGTTCACTCTAAAAGAAAATATGCTCATTGTGAAAAAAAAAGTAATTGATAATGGAGGGCCAGTATCACAACTGCTGCAACGAATTGCAGAAATGTAATGGAATTAAAGTTATAAAATGGTTTTCGATATGACAGAGATAGAACAAGGGCAAGTTTTTCCTACAGGCTTCAGTGGAAGTTTGAAAAAAAATTCCTCTGTTGAACTATACCTGTATTTAAACAATTGATACAGTTGATAATAATTACTCTGTGTTTAACAACTGTCACAAGCCTTGACCTCGACCATGGTTCCCTTTCATTTCCTCTTCCCTTTTCCTTCTCCTCTTCTACCAGTGACTCCCACCCACCCCCCTTCTCTCCAATTTTAAGTGATATTTCACACATTAAAATAACTTTGCCTCCGTTAACATATACATTTCCACTGTTTTAGTTTCTGTCACATAGTTAAAAGTCATATTCAGCTGTTACTGTTGATCTACTGCAGACATCCAAAGCAGCGGGTCCGTACATGTCATGCCTGTTGTCGTGTTGTAGGAAGGAGCTACGCTGATGTGGTGATAACACTCTTCTACCAAACAGGAAAAACACTGTGTCGTGTTTTGTCCAGCTCCCAGGAAACACCATCACAAAAAACAACCCTAGTATAATAGTGTTTGTGTGTAGGCATGTGTGGGAGAGAGAGATGATAATGACAGCTTACAGTAACAAAGTTAAATTAGTGCTTTTATAATTGGTTCAGTGCACAATTAATCAATCAAAAGAAAAATGATCAATTTCAGCTTTTGTAAGACCTCATCATATAAATGACATACCACTTAAAATTAAGTCCAGCACATAATAATCCAGCACATAACCTGATGTAAAACCACAACTGGTTGTTTTTAAACTCTGTTTTTTTTGTACAAATGAAACAACAAGATATTTTGGTTTAATTAGAGGTGTTGGAAGGCAGGTTTATTTTACTGAGCTGGACAGAGCCAGGCTAGCTATTTACCTGACTCCAGTCTTTATGCTAAGCTAACTAAACAGTCTTCTCGCTCCAGCTTCAAATTTACAGCACAGACACGAGAGGGGTTTCAACTCTCGGCAAGACAGCAAATATGTGCATTTCCCCAAATAGTCAAACTGTTGTCTAAAAGATTCACAGAGCTACAGAGTTTTTTGAGCGATACGTGACATGACCTTTGACCCATTTGATTTAAGGCTAATGTCAAAAACATCTTTTAATGTTGGTTTGAAGGGAAAATTATGACATGCTTTATTGCAGAGTGTTACAATGATAATACAATAAGCTACTGCAAGATGGCGCTTAGCTTAGCATAAAGACTGGAAGCAGAGATAAACAGCTAGCATTGTCCTAATTATCATGATTTGTCATATTTAGACTTTTTTAGATTTTTGTATGAATTAAACAAAGGAGATACAACATGTTGATTAGTGAGTTTTAGAAGTGTAGTTATGTGTACTAACTGTTTCCCCCGTTTCAAGTGTTTGTGCTAAGCTAAGTTAGCCAGCTGCTGGAGTATTTAGCAGACAGACATGAGTGGTATCAATCTTTTCATCTGACTCTCGATAAGAAAGCAATATGTCAAATTTTTCCTTCAACTGGAAGGAAGGGGATTCTCTACATACATCTCATTGTTCTCTGTCCGTCCCATGGTCTCTATAGTGGCTCAATGGCTCCTCACCTGTGGCTGCTTACCTGGTGAAACCACAGAACCACAGCAGTCTGAACAGTTTGAACTTAAACTCATGTTGTGCCACAGTGTGTGAGCCAGTGTCATGCCTCTCTGTTTCCTGTGTCTCCTCACCATTTACTGTCTGAGGAAAGTGATAAGATACTGAAAGAATGTGAAAAATAGAAAATTCCACGACTTCTTTCCCCAGCTGTTTCTTTTTAAAGCTCTTGCCAGGCTGCTTGTTTTGAGGGGACTTTTTAAAGTGTCTGACTGAATGCTAACCCCGGGCGAGCAGTGACACCATCCACTGTTTTCACGAAAATATGAATTAGGGGGATGCTGGATCTCTGAAGCAGACTTTTGTCTTAGAGGGAGCTGCTGGGGCCGCCAACACGTGAACTCTGACCTCTGTCTGAAGAGGATGGGTGTCTGGAGAGGCGAGACGAGGAAAAGGAGTTAAAAAGAAAAGATCAGAGAGGGAGGAGGGCGGGAGAGAAATGAAGGAGTGGAGGGGAGAAATGTGGGATCTGGAGGGACCTCAGCCTATGGGAGGGGAGTGTGGGGGAGGCAGGAAGAGGATGCATGCTATAGTGCAAAATAGCAGTTTCATACACTTTTTCACAATTCTCTTAACATGAAAAAGGCATGAAAAGTACATCTTAAGCGGGCCTCAGGCCTCAGCCATCACAATTCATGGAGACAACAAGCGAGTCAACCCAATGCACTTGTATATTTCTCCTTAGTTCTGATATGTTTGTAACTAAGAGGCATAGTTTGGATGGGAGAGGCAAGTCAAGGAGGAGGTGAGTCTTGGATTGGTGTGACTGATGGGTAAGATGTGTAATGGATGGAAGTGAAAGCCTCAGATTAGGAGGAGTAACGTATCTTTTCCCCGTCACCCTGCTGCTCATAAGCAGCATTATGTGGTGAGATAAACAGCAGATGCGCTGAGCAGTAGTTGTTTTGTTCTGAGCTGCAACCAAACACGCTAAATCAGTTCAAATGAGAGTCGCATGGCTCCGGTCTCATGACTGACCTTCTTCAGGAAGCCTGTCTGCGGAAACACACAAAAATGCATGTAAAAACACACACACACACACAATACATTTTTATAAAATACTCTTGTGGACTGTATGTTTTGTACTGAGTAAGTACAAATTAATAGTTTCAGTGTGTAAGCGAATGTCTGTGTCCATCAGAGAGAAAAAAATGGATTTGAAGAGGAAATTTGTGCCATGTGTTTGTGTGTGTGTGTGTGTGTGTGTGTGTGTGTGTGTGTGTGTGTGTGTGTGTGTGTGTGTGTGTGTGTGTGTGCATGCATGCGTGTGTGTGCATGCGTGTCTGTGTGTGGAATGGGGGGTTACAAAGATCCCTCTGTGGGTGAGACCGACCACAAGCCTCCAGAACAGCTGATTCTCAGCCTCTGAACCCTCCGGTCCCCCAAGAGAATGAGAGAGAGAAAGAGAGAGAGACGGTAAATGCACTGATGGCCTTGACTGTGTAAAGTTAGACTTCAAGTAACAGAAAATAGACCAAAGGCCCAACTCCACCAGCTTATTACCGGCTTTGTTTACGCTGATCGACTGCACCTAATCTTTGTTGTCTTTTTTTAGCTCGAGAAATGAGAGGTGACGAGGTACAACAGATCTGTGACTTGAGCTGCAATCAGCTGAGAAACCTTTTAAAAGATGGTGAATAAACTGAGGATAGTGACAAAACATTAGGAGGGAAAAGTGTGAACAAGAGATGGAAGGGGAGTTTAGGACAACAGAGGATGTTAGGACAGAAGGAGAAACAGCGGGATGGAGAGAGGGATGGAAAAAAGAGAGAGAGAGAGAGGGGAAAGTGGGAGGAAGAGGTGGATGAAGGGGAGAGTCGAGATCAGGAAGGAGTGGAGAGGAGCTTCTGTCGACAGCTAAGACAGGAAACCACAGCTGCTGGCTGAGAAATGGTGCGCTCATACACACACACACACACACACACACACACACACACACAGCTGCTGGAGATATATCCTTTAACCCTGATTGCCCGTGGATCGAGACGATGCAGCTGTGTCGCATCACGCCCCTTGCAAGCTGTGTGTGTGTGTGTGTGTGTGTGTGTGTGTGTGTGTGTGTGTGTGTGTGTGTGTGTGTGTGTGTGTGTGTGTTAGTTCCTGTTTTGTTTTTTCGTTGGAGTTTCTGACATTGTATTGTTTGCTCTGGTCTTGCGGACCATTGTGGTCGTCTAATTTTGGCCCTCGTGGAGACAATAGAGTATTGTCAGACCGGGAGGGCGGCGGAAGAGGCTTATGGGAGAGTGAGGGCTTTTCTCTCACTGTCTCTGTCTTCGCTCTGTATGAGAGAGTTTTAATTGTTTTTAAACTTCACCTTTTGTATCAGTTCTTTCCTCACAAAACATGACATATATAAAATAATTCTTCCAACTGAAAGTAAAAATGAAGCACAAGTGATTTTTTTCTCCCCAAATGATTCCTGGAGAAGATTTATAAAGGAAGTGGATAACTTTCTCAATGGACAGCACAGTGTTTCAACTCTGTGACACATTTGTAGGTTCCAGCAACTTCCTGTCCTTGAACTCCCTGTCAACTTTTTTGTATTTTGGGGGAAATGACATCGTAAATTTGACAATTTTAAAGCCTAAAATGATGGAAGAGTTGGAAAAGCTACCCATGTCATGTCATGGGACAATAAAACTTTCCACAGGAAGCCAAACTGAAATGAAGTTATTTTAGGTTATTTTAGGGCTATTAATTTGATCCACTCCACCTATTCACCGGCATGAATAATAATTTATCATATCAGTAGTTTAAAGGTCAATATCAGTCAATGACACTACTGCACCACAGGAGAAAAGCTCAGACACCGCCAAACAACTCTCAAACTTCTGTTATGAATGAGTGAGCACTTAAATGGACCAAGGGCAGTTTGGTAACCACATCCTCCTATCTCTATTGGAACTACAGATTTCCTTCTTTACTTTGGCTCCATTTCCTTTATGGAAGGAAGCGTACTGACCCTCTCCTCCTCCTCCTCCTCCTCCTCACCTTCTTTTCTCTCTGACTCCCCCACCCCTCCTCTCTGTCGGCTCTGAGCTGGCAGGATGTGTGAGAGTGTGTCAGGCTGTTTGGAACAATGTCAAGGTCAACAAAACACACACAGAGACGCACACACACACACACACACACACACAGACGTACAGGATGTCAGAGTTAAACATGAAAACAATTATTTTTTCAAAGAAAGTTCAAAATATCCTCAATATAACTCAAAGTAGGATTTGATCTGTGGTGGTGCCGAGACAAAGACACAGAAAACTCACAGCACACAAAAAGGCTGACTCGGAGGCGGAAACAATGAATAGGCCGATATGTTCGGATGCTAAATATCTCCTCCCTCTCAGCTGTTGCAACAGGCGGTGGACTGAGTTACAAACTGACTTCATGCCCCTCTTTAACTGCCAGTTTTGCTCTGCGTGGCCTTTGCATACATGCGTTAAATTGATATTTGATGCACTCGGTGTAATAGCGTACGCATTTTAGGCATGCTAAGTGTCTTCGCTGTGTGCTTTCCCATACTGACCTGATGGTGCTTGATACCAAAGAGTATTTTAAAATAGTTCCACAAACCCAAATCTTATGTTTGCTTGTGTTTTGTGTGGTTTCCAGTGGTGATGGAGCGACTTGTAAATGAGTTGGGTTCTCTGCTGAAGATGCTCGACCACGAGACGGTCAGTCCTGCAACCGCTGAAAAGATGGCCTCCATACGCAACATCCTGGACTCACTGCAGCTGTCAGGTACAACATCATCATCATTATTACCTTTTTTTTTTTTGTTTCCATAATACACACAGTTTTGTGCCAGTTGGGTTCCTGCTGATGTTTTTACAGTTAGCATAGCTTCCAAAAACATTGGTCAACTGCACTGGACCCAAAACATTAAATTACTTTTATCAAACTCATTGTTATTGTTAATTCTCTCTGAGTCTCCTCACATCAGTAAGTTACAGGCAGTTAATGTCAAGCCGCTGTAGAGTCGACACATCAAAGGCACAGTATCTCTTTTAACAGGAAGAAAACACGAACAAAGGTTAAAAATCTTATTACATACAGGGAAATATAAATTAGAGGCAGGACTATAAATAAGATTGGTGATTTTCATTTATCCAGGGGAACTTGACTGAGCATGCTTGTGGTGTTTCATCTGCATCCTGCTTCGCATTAATCCAGTTTGAGACTGGCAGCAGTTCAGCCGAAGCATTTCAGTTGAGGAATTTGTTCAAAGTCGCTATAACAGTGTTTATTTAGACACAAATGGAGCATTTCTTTTTTTATGTGGCCCATGTCTTTTCGCGATGGCGCAACCTTCCTGTTATTAGCTAACCAGACTGCAACTGCACAACAATGCATAAGATACGGGACAGTGATTGTAGTTTGGAGACATGCAACAAATGCAGTCTCCATGACATGAGATCTTACTCAGGTGTTTACAGTAAGATCCCGGTTTATCTCTGAGAATGCAGGGTGTTGGAGAGGATAAAAGGATTGATGTAAGAGGATAATGAAATGTTAAGTTTAAAGAGGATAATGAGAGGAGGTCAAAGAAAGGAGAAAAGACATCCCGATGGTTTAAAACAAACGTCAGAATGGGTCCACGCTGCCTTTCCCTTACTACTCTACAGATTTTTACATCAGTTGAGCTTTTACTGAAAAAAAACTTGAGGGATTGATTTCTGCCAAAACTTCCACAAAGTCTGGGAGGTTTAGCAAACTTTCACATGTATTTTATGGCTTTTGGCATTGAATATTTACAAGCTGCACGCCCTTGTTGTCTGATAGGTTTAAAAATGCAGATAGCTCAGTACTGATACTCACCTAGAGCCTGTTCGCTGCGTCTGGTAATCCTGATTCTCCTCGCCTCAGCATAGACCACAATCCTCGCTCTAACTCTGATCCTATTTCTAATCCCTAATCTATCTTTTCCACAGTCAATGGATCAGACGTCTACATGAACAGCTGTCTCTATGGCAACGGCACAAGCTTTGTAGAGTCTCTGTTTGAGGATTTTGGTGAGTTCACCCTAAAACTGTTCAGTGTTATGAAGTCTTATGTGGAAATGATCATTATTGTATATTTGCAATTATCATACCACGAGATGTAGATAATGAGCTAATAAACATCTGTTATAAGATACTGTATATTTAACTGTTGGCCATGCTATAGTGAAATGGGCCTGCTCATTCTGTGAAGCCTAGCAAAAGTTTGTTAAATTACTCAGCCTCTTTTTCATGTACATTCACACAACTGGTTGGAGGTTATGATAGGTCATTCTTGTCCGACAGAAAAATGCTGCTTTTATTTAAAGCACAGTTACACGTCTGATAACATGAATCCTTTGTCGTCCCACCAGACTGTGACTTGCACATGCTCAGTGCATCTCCAGTGGAGCAGAAAGAGCACAAAGAGGAAGAGGAGAAGACTCATCCCAATAAATCTGTGAGTCACCTGCAGTATTTAACTGACTGTCCACCTGCCTTTATTGTCCTTGTAACTAAAGTTATGGTTTAACCTTCAGACACCTACCGACACGCCCCCTCCTCTGCCAACCACCCCCCTTCCTGATGACTACTATGAAGAGGCTGTTCCTCTGGATCCCGGATCCACCCCTCAGTACTTTACCACCAATATCCACAGTCAGTCACTGTACACACACAAACACACACTCAAAATCACAGATCTGCAAACTCATTTCTCTTTAAATCTCATCTCGACTCTTCTCTCCTGTAGCTTCCATGAACTCAGTGGAGGACGCTTACTATGAAGATGCAGACAATAACTACCCCACCACCAGGATCAACGGTCCTCCCAAAAACTCCTGTGAGTCTACTCTGTCTCACACTTACTCATAGTAGCAATTCAACTTTACAACCGTAAACACACGCATGTTCTAGTAGGTGGATTCCATGAGTGAACTCAATCACAAACTGTCTGTGGATGTTTGGTGAATTAATCATGCATTTTACTTTTGGTGGTCAGACAATGACTCAGATGCGCTGAGCAGTTCCTATGAGTCTTACGAGGAAGAGGATGAGGAGGCAAAGGGGCGGGACCAACCTCAGAGATGGACAAATGAGGAAAGCTCAGATGGACCAGTTAGAGACTGCCGCATCTGCGCCTTCCTGCTGCGAAAGAAACGCTTTGGCCAATGGACGAAACAGCTGGTCGTCGTGCGAGACAGTAAACTGCAGGTAAATAGATAAAGCTATTTATGATATGATAGAACTACAAGCAGAGGCTTCGATGTATTTCCAGTAATATGTAGTGTCAAATGTCGGAGACAAAAGAGCAAACATCCAAAAAAACAGGTGTTGGACCAATCAGGAGACATCACGTTCTTCACTTCCACAGTGCTTGTTATTTACTGTTGCTATGGAACATTTCAATCAATCTTCTTCAGACACAAACAGTACTAATATACATCAAATACATATATACTGTACATATTGCAAAATGATTGCAATGAATGAGAGGAAATTCCTATTTTTTAAATACCTTGTACTAGTATCACAAGAGTAATCATAGACCTGTTTTAGTTTTCAATTGTAAGCTATACCTAACCACACTGTCAGGAGGAATGGGGTGTTGGATTTGGGCTTTTACATGTTAAGTGTAAATGTTACAAATGCTCCATCAAAGTTACTCTAGTGGTTATAATGACGTAGCTTTCATTTATGTCAGGTAAAAAGTTTTTTTTCTTCTAGTATGGCAACCTTTCGAATGATTGCACTCACTAGTACCAAAGTGTAATTGCATCAAAATGATATACAGTATCAAAGTACCCACTCGTGGTTATGTAACTATACCTCAATCTCACTGTCTCTATTTTCCAGTGTTATAAGAGCATCAAAGAGAGCACTCCCCACACAGAGCTCCCCCTGAATCTGTGCAACGTCATCTATGTCCCTAAGGAGGGCAAGAAAAAGAGACATGAGCTGCGTTTCTCTTTGCCTGGAGGCGAAGCCCTAGTCCTGGCTGTTCAGAGCAAAGAGCAGGCCCAGCGGTGGCTCAAGGTACATTTATTCACTATATGCTGGGACAGACAAGAGTGGGGGAACACATGGCTGTGTCAGGAAGTGAAGGTTTTCCTTTTCTGGGTCCAGGTGGTGCAAGATGTTGGCAGCCAATGTAGCAAGACTGAAGGACCAGATGGATCCACTTCTCCCATTATACAGAGGAAGTTGGAGCTTGACAAGGTTTGTGTTTTTGCATATGTCTTTGAGTCATAGGAGTTATAGGATTTGCCCATAAAGCAGTCATGAATTTCTTGAATTTTCTGTTTAAATCGGGGCTCTTTGTGCCAGTTAAACAGTTGCCTCTCCCTATGTCTGAGTTTAACTTTACTGTAATGTCTACATCTTCATGTCTTGAGGTGCACTTCACTCTGAATCTACTGTATATCCTAGTTTTTAAATTCTAACGTTGCTGACATCATTTCTTTCAGCCCACACATGACACAACTGTTCCTTTGGCTTCTAGTTTACAAGCAGTGAGTGAGGTGACATTATTGCGGTTGCTGAGCTGGCTAGTGTTCAAAGAGCTTCATACCCTCAACAAGGTCTTGGCACACAGCTGCAGAGCCACAGAGCTGAATGCACGGTGACATGGCAGTTACACCCTATGTTGGCAGACTAGTTTTAAAAGTATATAATCTGTAGACCAAGGCAGCTTCTGTGTCATTTTTCTTGACATGATTTTGCTCGGTTAAAGGACAGAATAAAACAGGACAGATGAATGTGTCTCCTCTCCTCATATTTTATGGGAAGCCGGAGTAATAATGGTCTCTACTTTTTCTTTGCCAGGTGCTGCAGTCTGAGCGGCAGGCATCAGACTCAGACAGCGGGCCAACAGCAGACAATCAGTCTACTGCACATGTACCAGGACGGGACACCACTGACTCACTCAGTAGGTTTACGTTAATAAGCCTCTATTGATTTGGTTGTAATGCTCTTTGTTTTACTTTGGATACAACTCACAGCTCTTACATGTACAGTATCAGTGATTATCACTTAAGACGTACAACATTATATTGTTGATTAAGTCAGTAGTCATATTTGGGTTATATTATAATATTATGTTTGGGTGTTTGTATGATTCTTTGCAACTGAATCTTGGTGTAAGCACCTTTATGATCTTTGTGAAGTATTTCTGAGTGAAACACCAATATGTGAGTGGGGTTTGGAAAGAGATTTAAATTAAATCCTTCAGATTTGTTTGGGCCGCCCAAAGGCCTGCGTAGCTCTGCAAGAGATTCACCTACACCTCCCTCACCCACCTTGTTAGATCAGGAGGAGGAGGAGGAGGAGGAGGAGGAGGAGGGTGAAGACCTCAACCCCATTCTTTGGAAATCCAAACACACACCTCTGACACAAACTAACAGTCAAGTGTAGTTTTATATGATGGGCAGGGTTAGCTAGTCAGCACAAATCTAAATCAAAATGTTCAAAATGTATTTTATTTATTTGTTATTTATATATTATTTATTTTATACACATATTTAGCATGTATCAATTAACACTGGGACACAGGAATATAAAATGAAACTTTTTTCATTTTCCTGTCTTTAACACATAAATAAAGCTTCAGTTTCTTTTTAAAATTTAAAAGCATTATTAAAATGCATATTTAAAAAAAATGTGTTTGAAAAGTGAGTTGACCATAACTGACACTAGCTGGCAATATTACTGTGTAGGTGAAAACGTTGTATAAAGTCTTTTGTGACTCCAGAGGGAGCTGTGTGAAACCTGATAAATAACAATAAACGTCGGTTGGAGCTGAAGACCATAAGTTTGAAAATGAAAGGAATCTGGGGGTGTTGACTTAGAAAGAAGTCAGCCGAACAGTATTTTATAGCCTGCCCCTCATCTTTGCTTGAGGCTAAATTAATTCATACTAGCATAAGATACCCAAATGTCTCGAGTTGTATTTTGGATTGTGTGGAGACCAGGTTTTGACAAGGAAGAAGAATGCATGGTTCAGCTGCATTGATTCTGATGGTTTTTGAAACCGGAGTTTGTGGTGCTGTTGAACTGTATTGAGTTACACTAGCTAAATGTCCTCACTCTCCAAAAAGGTCCTCACTCTCAGGTCTCGAACACAAGTCCCCACAAGTACAAACACCCATGCAAACACACACACACACGCTAGTCTTTTTGTAATTGTGTGGACAGTTGTTGTTAACGCATTCCCTAGCCCCTGACCTTTACCATCACAACTTAATCCCCTTCCTTAACTGTAATCTAAATTTAATTATATTGTAAACCATTTGACAGCCAAAATGTCCTCACAATGCAGAAATGTCCCCGCTATGATGCTTTTGAACTAAAATTAGTCAACACAAACATAGAAAGGCATGTATACACACACACACACACACACACACACACACACACACCATTTCAAGTGTGTGATCAAAAGCACAGGCACTATTATTGTTTATCTACCCACAAAATCAGGAAGGATAAACCAGCGGATCCATGATGTTGGGTCAGAATATAGGTCAAACACAGTCATATTGTTTCAGTAATACTACAACCTGTTTACTGTGCGAAGGCCTCTGAACCTAAAGAGACATGAGAGAGAGGGAGAGACAGGAAGTGAGGCACAGAGCAGATATGACATCCTTCCTGTCCTCTTCCTGCGATTGTGTCCCACTGACATCATAGGAAGTAAGCTGGGCAGAGCGCTGCAGCACCTGGTACATTTGACGCGAACACGCAAACACACTGTAGGGTTTGGCTGAATAAATAAAAGACATCTCTGAAACACAATATGTGAAAATGTCTAGAAGTACAGTTAGTCCTGACTTGGTAGAAAATGAGTTGTTTTACAAGAATATATTCTCGTCCAGTTCTCATTACACGTTTTTACTTTAATGTAATTGATGAAATATGTGATTTTTGAATTAGAAAGTATTATTGACACTGCTGATGTAACACAAATACGGTAAGATCCTTCAGTGATGAGGGTTCTGCTTTCAGCTGCTGTATATTAAGTGCTCCTTAACTCTATGACCACATTTCTGGCTCAAGCGCAGTCTGACAAAGGTGTGTTTGATTTCAGGCCGGGGGAAGCGCGGAGCGTTCTCAGAGCTGACCGGGTCGATGAGCCGAGCAGCAGGGAAGAAAATCAATCGGATCATCACTTTCTCCAAACGGAAACCGCCTTTACCGGGAGAGCCTCCCTCATCTTCTGGTAATCATGACAACCCACGCTGTGGTGAGGACACAACCTATTAGAGTAGCTCTTTGGTTGATTGGCTGGTTGATGAGTTGGTGGGTGTTTGGCTGAGTAATAGACTAATTAAAAGTAAAGGATAAGTACGAGTGGATGCCTTTAAGAAAAGCCAAGTAGGCTAAATCTTATAACCATATGACCAACTTATATCATGCTGTACAATTAGTCTATGTTTCATAATTAAGAATTGTATTGTACATCATAAAACCAACAATAAAAATTAAAAAAAAATCACCATTCAAATGTCAAAATGTGAAACAATTACAGTAAAGAGTAAAAAAAAGAGATATATTATCATTATGAATATAAAAAAAGATGAAATATTTTTAAGGTAGACCAAAATTGTATTCAATAAATAATGTTTTATTTACAATCTTCAAATAAATAACACAGCTTCATGCACTGTGTATTCATACAATTGGAACTTTATTTTAAAGGACCAGTGTGCATGATTTAGGTGGATCTATTAGCAGAAATTGAAGATAATATTCATAATAATGTTTTCATCAGTCTATAATCACCTGAAACTATTGTTGTGTTCAACAACGCTGAATCGTTGTGTTTTTGTTAGCTTAGAATGATCCCTTTGTGTCTACGCAGGGTATTCACTTGCAATCTGCAACATCACCACTAGATGCCACTAAATCCCACACACTGGTCCTTTAAATTCTACTGGAGATCCATGAAATAGACACAATAGATACAGTTGTTGTCCAAAGTATTTTCATGTAATGTATGAGCTACATAAGAGGACATTCAAAGTCAAAATAAAAATTAAAGAAGTTATCTTAGCTGCCATTTTTGACCAAATGACTTGAATATAAACTGATTCTAGTCACTAAACATACTTTCCGTCTTTTTGTTTTGTCATCACTTTCACATTCTCTCCCTCTCGTTCTCTATAGGCTACCTCAGTGTGTGTCTGAGCGGCTCTTGGAAGGAGCGTTGGTGTGTGGTGCGAGAAGGAAGCCTGTACCTGCAGAAGGACCCTGGAGACCAGCGGCCGCCAGTCATTGTGGTGCCACTCAAAGGGGCAGAGGTGGTGCCAGGTGGCCCCGGCCCCAAACATCCCTTCTCCTTCCGCATCCTGCAGGGAGGCAACGAACTGGCAGCTTTAGAGGTATGATGGAATTCAGATTGTTTTTGATGACGTTGACATGTGCACAGGGGAAACACACCTTCATTTTTCTGGAAACCAAGCAGCTTTGTATGTCTCTTTCCATCAGGCCAGCTGCTCGGAGGATCTTGGCCGCTGGCTTGGTGTGTTGTTTGCAGAGACCGGGAACGTCACTTTGCCTGAAGAGCTGCACTACGATTACATCGATGTGGACACACTCACAGACATACGGCACGCTGCCAGACACTCCTTCCTGTGAGTCACTTCCTACAGTATCTGTTTGTGTGTTTCTGTGTGTGTTTATCTAGAGTTTTCTGTCTCTTATTATAGCTTTTATCCTGAAATACATCTGTCTCTGCCTCTTTTTCCTATCAGGTGGGCCACTACCACGGCTGCTTCCTCCAGCAGTGCCTCGACAGACTCCAGAACTTACGATGAAGTCTATGAAAGTGTTGAGGTGAGGAAACATCTTGTGAACCAGTGACAACAGAGAAAATCTGCCAAACGTGGAGAAGCTTCAAGTTTTCCAATGCTTCTCTGGTCTTTCTTCTTCCTGTCATGTTCAGTTGCAGATTTATGAACTTAGGTTAAGTTTGTGACATAACTACTTTCTAAATATTAGACAGCCCCAATTTTTAACTTCACATTTAGTTGCATGTTGTGTTGAGCTTCACTGGTACCCCAGTGCATCTCCTCGTGGGGTTTCAGGCATCAGAGGTTGAGGGAAAAAAATTCAGAATGAGAAAAATGTTTTTGTCCATCACAGTGCAATGCTAATTTGTGCTTCTATTCTACTATTGCACATATTTACATTTCGCATTGTATGTAGAGGATACAACATCGGCTAAAAGCTTACATTACACACACACACAAAATGGCATCTGCAGTACAGTTTCAGTTTAAAAAATAAACATATCGATGCATAAAAATGTAAATTATGTCAATGGTGAAATATTCCTGTATCCTGTAGGATGGGGATGTCGAGAGCAGAGCGGGCCAGGTGAGACGCCACGCCTCCTTCTCCAGCAGGGACTCTGAGAAAACTGAACAGCAGGCCGCCATTAAGAGACATGCCTCCAGTGAGTCTCATTTCATATTTGATGAGACAGGCTTTATGAAAATTACATGGTAGAACCTGCAGCTGAATGACCGACATTCTCGCTCATCATTGCTCTGTCTATCTATATGGTGCTTTTCTTTTCTGTTAGATGTAAATCAGTATGGGCGGTATGGGAAGACGCGAGCAGAGGAGGATGCCAGGCGGTACCTGACACAGAAGGAGGAGCTGGAGAAGCAAAAGGAGGAGCTCAGAAATGCACTGATTTCTCTCCGCAGGGAGAAGAAGGAGGTGAAGGAGGGGATGAAGAGTGGCACAGGTCAGGGGCAAATCACACGCACACACACACACATAGTACTGTTTAGACTCCAGCTTTGTTGCAGTAGTAACTGTAAGTGTTTGTGTGTGTGTTTATGTGCAGGTAAGGGTGTGGAACAGCGGTTAGCTGAGCTGGAGACGCTGTGTAAACAGAAGGAGGAGGAGAGAGTGGAGCTAGAGCTCCGACTGACAGAAGTCAAAGAAAACCTGAAGAAATCATTGGCTAGAGGAGCAATGGGTCCGCCCACTGACACCAAGATCAGTGTCAAGGTAGGCAGTTAACGGAGAGACTGAGTCTGTGTCACGTCACTGGATTTCTTTTCCATATCTCAGTATATCATATGTTCACTGCTTTGCTTGAGTGAAAACTATCTGACATTTATGTTTGTATGTGTGTTGGTCTGTCAATGTGTTTCCGTGTGAAGGCACAGGGCAGTAAAGTTGAAAAGGTTTACAATGAGACTGTGCCAGTGAACTCAGCATCTGAGCTTCGTAAACGCCCTCCGTCTCTTTACGCCTCCTCCAAGGGGAGCGTCATGCAGAAGGCAAAGGTACAGTGTGTGTGTGCGTGTGCGTGTGAGTGTGTGTGTGTGAGACAAGCACAGAGAGAAATATTTGCCTCACTTAAAGCTGTCTCATGGTTTCCAGGAGTGGGAGTCAAAGAAGGGGACCTAGACTGAACGTGAACGGATCGACAGATGGATTGATGGAGAGAAAAAAACTGAGCTGTGACAGGAAGACATGTAAAGGAAGAAACAGATGAAGAGCAAGAAAAAGTGGCACTGAGAAGAGGAAGAAGAGAAGGAGGACAGAGGACAGACTCTGACACATTCCTCCCTCCTCTTATCTAAAGAAAAAGAGAAATCTTTTGCAAGTCCAGGCAGCACGGTGCTGTCTCCAACCACTGTAAATACAACAGACTTGATGTACCAGTACAGTATTAATGTGGATCTCTATGAACATGAAATCTATATGTTTGTGTGAGTTTGCATGTGTGTTTACATTTGCACTGGGCTGCAGAAAGTGAAAATGTGATTACTTCATAGACGTGCAAAGCAAAGGGAGAGTATGGTTCATCAACACTGTGAGTTCAGAGTTACAGACAAGACTTCCTATCTACACCCACTGATTTTATTCCCTTTTACATATTTGTCACTGTACAATGAAAAACTAAAGTAAAGAAATTATTACCTTAAATTATCATTATCAATAGTGAGAGAAGCATCTCACATCTTGTGATGTGTATTTAAACCATTAGGGAGATATATTGAGTATGACACTGTTCCTGAAACCAATGAGTAAATGTTTGTTATTGCAATGTGAAACTATTCGTTTTTAACCATTATATGTATTTTTTCCATATTTGCCTTTTGCACTTTATCTTGTTATATTTTGTGGTTACACAAATGTCTTGGAAATTAGCCTTTGCACCCCTCTTAGCAGAATCATTTGAGGATAAATGCCCATGTCTGCTTTCCCTGCTCATCACAGAGATATGAACAAATACACACATGTTGGAGTAAATGATTACTTTATCAAGAAACCTTGTCTACTGTTCTGTTTAATTGTTTCTCTGTTTTAAAGAAACCAACAGCAGCATCACAATTCTGAAGCATTGTCGCCATCTAGTGGTAAAATCATGTTCCTGCACTTGGTGAAACAATGTGGCCAAATTCTTTACTTTTGCATTTAATGTACAAAACAATACAATACAACAATACAATAATACAATAATAATATAGCAGCAATCACCTATTTTCTATATAAAGATATAGTGGAGTAACGGCTTCCCGAGCAGAGTACGAAGTCACACCCCTGTGTGTGCTGTAATCTGAGTTTTTCTGTGCTCTGTTTTAATATGCTAGCGCGTGCGTGTCAGTACGTGCTCGTGTGCGTGTTAGTGCTCGTGAGTCTCTCCTGTTAAACAATTGAACCTCCCCCTTTATAAACACACAGGGACCGCCCACAGGTGAGATGGTACAGTGCAGGTTCAGGTGAAAGCACCTTCCTCCCTTGAAGAAACTTTATTTGGCTGAGAAGGTCTCTGACAAAGAAAGAGAGTCAGTCATGGGGATAACCTGTTCAAGTCATGGTTGTCTGCTAGAAGTCAAAACATCCATAAAGTTTTACCCGGCCCCATCAGCGTGTCTGTATCCCAGCTGATCAGTCCAAGGATGAGTGTCTCACATAGTCCTACCATCCAGAGGAAAACCCTACGAGCGGCTAAAAGCTCCAGTTTGACTCAGAACCGGCTTCTTCTCCTCCATGTGTAAGTAACTTGATGGCTACATAATGTTAGATGTCTGTTTTTATTAGTGACGGCCACCCATTAGTGAGGAACGGTAGCTAACTTGCCGTTATCCATATTATGAATTTGTTCGGCAAACGTTGCTATCGCTAGCTGACTAAATGCTAGCATTGCTGTGGAGCATATCTCAGCAATGCTAGCCTGGACTGATGCTTGTGGTTAGGTGTTTTTTTGTTGGCTCACGTGTACACAAGGTTACTTAATTAAATTGTGCTTCTTGTTGTGGGTTTAGTGGACACTTTCACTGAGTTTTGTAGCATCTTGCTGACGGACAACGTGACGGTGTGTGGCCGACAAGCATTTGTTTTGGTCGGAGCTGCTGGTGGTTTAGTGCAACATCTAGTGCCAGTGTCGATCTCAGAAACTTTTTAAGTAGTTCTACTGAGAGGAAATTATTACACAAGCTACAAAAAACAGAATAATGTTTTTGTTTTCTTTGGTTTTCCCACAGCTGCGTCAGCATCATCACAATTATTTTTAATATTTTCCAGCTGTGAGCAACTTTCCCATTTCCTTTGTATAGTGCGTAGTCTCCGGTGGTGCACTGTGAGAGAATAGCGTCCATCAACAGTACCATAACAAATGAAGTGTTTTTGTTATGAGTTTTTTGAGTATACCTTTCCCGTGTAAACACACTGCATACACTGAAATAAAACAAGGCACACAAGTTCTGCTACATGATCAGTCATGTTACAATGAAAGCTGATGGGGGGGGCTCACACATCCCTAGTGGTGTTCCCAAGTTTTGAAATATCTCTTTCTGAAATTTCTGTCTCCTCCCAATATAACTGAGATGAGTGGAATTTCATTTATGGTGAATTTCAGTGTCATCACATTTTAGCTGGACTTGAGATGAGTATGACAATATGTTGGTTGTAATTTGTGTGAACTGACCCTCAAACATGAGCAGTTTTCTTTTAAATTATAACATTAATGATGATATGGAACTCTTAATGTTTCAGAGTCGAAGCATTTCAACATACGTGTTTTTAAATGGATTCAATTAACGGAATAAGACAAGACAATTGTTACACTTCTTTAGAAAGAGTTTATTTAGTGCATTTCTAGTTTGTCCACAGCAGGAACCAAAATATTAAGTTAATCTGTGCTCCTATTGGTTAACCAAAGTTCTGGTCCAACACCATTGGTCCACTCATGTTCTGGTGCAATACTATTGGTCCAGTAGTGTTCTAACACCCTCACATTGGTTCACTAGTGTTGTGGTATGACACTATTGGCTCACTAGTGTTCTCTTTTGGTCAGGAACACATAAGACCAGAAAAAAAGGACCTTCAGCATGCTGCTACTGAGCAGAGGTCCACAAGCTTCCATGCAACAACAAACAAACAAACAGCAAGGGACAACAACAACAAACGGAAAGATAAACAACAGCATTGCTTGTAAGAAGTAAGCATGGAAGCATATACAGTAAACCTTATTTTAACCTGCTAAAGCCCTCAGGAGGTTTGTCTGATATACAACAGATCTTAAAAAGGTAAAATCCCCCCCCAGACGTGTGCGCACACACTCGATCTCACTTGCCCACACACACAACACACCTACTGCAAGCACAGCATGTACTTGACCACACACACACACACACACACACACACACACACACACACACACACACACACACACACACACACACACACACACACACACAGACGCACCAGCATGCAAACAAATGATCAGTCCTCATAAGTGTACAAGGAATACGTTCGTCATTTTTAAAAATATGACTTAACCCCATGAGCTCTGTGTAAACATAGCGTACGGTAGAATAGATAAGACGTTCCTCCTTCCTTTGTCGCTCTGTAACTTTCTGGCCACTTGCCTTTTTCATAGCAATACCATAGTTAGTTAATACTTGTACTCTTTGGTTCTCTGTAACAGTCTGTTTATAGGACTGTGTGACTGACTGACTGACTTTCTCTATCCTTCCTTTCTTTCTCTCCCTCCCTTGTTCTGTCTGGGTATGATACAGCAGGAAGAGTAGTCAAGGGAAGAGATTCACAGGTCCTGTCCCTCTGCAGACCAGAGCAGCAGAGGCAGATGGATTGATTGTCCTTGATTTATTTACATCACAGTCAGTCACAGTGGGCTCCGTGAAGTGGAAGAACACATTCCTGTTCTCCTTCATTTTCTCCTTGCCTCCTCCTACCCCTCACCAGCCTGATGTGTGGGCATGTCGGCCTGAGATCTGTGTGCGTGTGTGTGTGTGCGCGCATGTGTGCATGTGCATGTGTTCGTGCGTGCTTGTGTGTGTGTGTGTGTGTGTGTGTGTGTGTGTGTGTGTGTGTGTGTGTGTGTGTGTGTGTGTGTGTGTGTGTGTGTGTGTGTGTGAGGGGTGGTGGGGCTAGGATAAGTCATTGTTGCTTGGCGTCTTCCCTCCGCCGTTAAGTAGGGCTGAAGCGCTGCGACTCTTGGTCGGCGTGCCGCTACCTGACCGTGAGAGTTCTGTCAGGTCATGGAGGGAGGGCTCCCTGTACATGGCCACTACACATGCACAGACACACAGACACAGACACACACACACACACACACACACATACACACACACAGACACAAAAGGAGAATCATTAATTCAACTATTGGTACTTGTCTGAGTGACTCACTCAGGTTTGGTATATGCACAGTCTTCTTCAGTAAGTTCAGAACATTTAGTTCTCTTGCATGCAGATAACTTTATGCCAACTCTATAATTAATTCTGGTTTTAAGTCCTGATTTGATTCTCAGAGGGGAATTCCTACAAAGCTAAGTTTGCAGGTGTAATATAATGCTACATAAAACATGGAACAATGAAGATTTCTAGTCATTAATGAACATACAATTAATGAACAATAATAAACAAATTCATAGTTTCAGACATATCCTCAGTTGCCTATTGACGCACCCAGTGGAAACAACATTAGCATTCATTTGGTGATCTGATGAGTCCTAAGTCCAATATCCACTTTCTTTCTAGCTCTGTTTTGTTCTCCACTAATTCCTGCAGAAATACAGTATATCTGGCTCTTAAACTGCTAAATGTTCACTAACTGTATGTCTGCCGCTTGGTCCTAGGCAGGTAATGTACAGTGGGTTTTTCTTAACACTGTCTCACTTACTGCTGAAATATTTATTTGATTACCATGTTTCAGGCTGTCTGACCTTCATCATGTATATATGGGCTGCATCACAACACATCCACATAGTATAGGGCAGACCGAAATGTTGTAATCAAATAAATATTTCAGCAGGGAGTGAGACAGTGTGCGGGAGTTCTTCTCATTGTTTTCAAGTTGCACTGAGAACACCTGCCTGCTGCGGCTGGCAGTGGTGAGAGTAATTCAAGTATCAGAAAAGTAAAACGATGAGCTGAAAGGTGCTAAAAGCCTCTGTGAAAGCTGAGTCCAATGATAACTCTCTGTGGATTCATCACTATGATCTACCCCTTTCACCTACAAGTAGTAATGTGATCTATTGTTATTATAGAAATATTGATTATACTGATATAGATTTACTCTGTGCATTTACATTTTAATGTGTACTTTCTTGCATTTACATCATGTCTTTAATAAGCGCTCTCATCTCTGTCTGGAACTCTGTACTGGTGCCGTCTAAGCCAGGTCTCCCTTGGATAACATCACATAAAATCCTTTTATATTCATCTGTAAATGATGAGTTCACGAAACAGAGAGTGGGTGGGTGGTGGGCTGTAAGTTATTGCACCAAGCTGGACATTTCCCATAAATGTAATTGAGTTTTGAGTAATTAGCTCTCAGAGACATGAATGAGTGCATTCTCATAAACATGAAAAAGTCTAGCTCTATACCTTCATAAAACATCAAGTGCCATCTATTTTTTTTTTTTAAGTTATTTTTTGGGCTTTTTGTGCCTTTTAATGGACAGGACAGTAGAGAGACAGGCAATGGGGAGGCAGAGAGAGGGGGAATGACACGCAGCAAAGGGCCGTCCGATGCGGGAGTTGAACCGGGGGCCCGCTGCAGCGAGGACTGTAGCCTCTATATATGGGGCGCCTGCATAACCCACTGCACTACGCGACACCCCCATTTTGCCATCTATTTTGAACATATGTTTTTATAATGTGTATATATATATATATGTAGTTGTGATTTCGGTTATTTTACTGAAGACATTTCAGTATTTGTTTGTGACTGTCTGGTTTGATTGTATTTCATATTTTCCTGGCACCAGTGAGACTTAAGCAAAATAAGAGTTGCCGTCTGGTGACGATAGGTGGTTGTTTGCTTATGAAACACACCTAAAGAGTCGTGATGAAGCAGATTAGTTTTTGAATGTTCAGCCTATTAAATAACAATTACCGGTGTTTTTCCTCCAGTTGACATTGATTGTTTGTTATTTACTCATGAATATTTAAAGATCTCATCCAGACATGTTTAAAAGACCCTCAAAACATATTTCCTCAATCAGCTTCCTGTTATGAATGATGAAATCCTATGAATGCACAATTTTCAAACAAAGTGGGAACAGTTTGGGGTATTTTACATAACATTTTCATTATTTATTTATTTTTCCATTTTATTTTCTTTTTTTAAACTTTGTTTCTTTGTATTTATTCTTTATTTCTTTTGTCTATACTTCTCTCTCTGGTTTGTGACAGGCCTCAGTTGGAAAAATAAGATGTCACATATTTTCATGGACCAATCAGAACCTGATTGTTAACTCTGTTAACTCTCTGAAGTTAGCATGCTAACCAGCTAGCCCCAGTCCAGCCGGATCATCTTGTCACTTTCCTATACTGAGACACTGTAGTGTCCAGTCTTCCCTGAAAAAGTAGTGCTTATACCCTCTTGTATTGTGAACACAACTGTGGCTGATTCTCTTGGCAAGACGGGTAAGTAAATAGCTGTTAATGCTAACGTTTGCTATGTATGTATCAACAGCAAAACCCAAAAAAGCTCCTTTTTTAAGTTTTTTAATACAGATACTTTTTCAGGGAAAAAAGGCCACGTCAGTTTAACTATAGCCTGCCTCATGTGGAGAGTTTTAGTGCTGGTTGTACTAGTACTGGTAAAGTGCAGCCCTACCTTTGAGCGGTTTCGGTATGAAGTGTGCAGCGGCCTTGTTCTTCTTGACGTGGTTCCCCTTCATGATTCCACCCTCCTTGTTGAGTCCCAGGTACCAGGCCCGGCCCGATGCCTGCTGCCGGTACAGCATGGAGGAGTAGGTGACGTAGTAGTTCTCAAACACTGACTCCTTGAACTTACACTCTGGGGTAAAATGTTCCTGGGGGGAAAATGTGACAGACATATTAGAAAAAATCACGAAAGAAAGAACACAAGGAGATGATTAAGTAGACATGGAGAGGGGGGAAGAGATGGAGCAGAGTCATAGAAGGTATGAGTTTGTAATGACAACTTCATTAAAAAGTGTTCAGTCATTCCTCCTTCATATCGCCTTCAGTGTATTCATCCATCAGTTGGTCCGCTCTTTGAATCATTATCTCGGCCAGGCTGTAGTCTCCAAGAACAAACTGCACCAACTTAGGACAGCTGACATTTGCATTTCCTTATTCATCCATCTCCATGGCAACCAGCTACTCCCTTGAATACCAACCAGCCCACTGAGAGAAAGATGGTGCCCAGGTTGCCGGGGGAGACGGAAAGATACAGATAGAGTGATTTTTCTCTGTGTAAGCCATTAATCTTGAATAAATTTTGATTAAGATTTGTGTATGTCTGATTTTCCAATCGACTTGGTAGGAGCAGACAAACTATTGTGGTTTGTGTGTATAAATCTATAAATATGTTTTGTGTGTTTCTTTTCTGTGTTTAATATCAGGTGAGAAGATGAAACAAGTGATATCAGTGTTATGACTGAAACCAGGACAAGCCAAAGCATCCAGGACTGGACATGATGGGCCAGATATTGTGGTGGTGTACGTGCCTGCACAGGCGTAGCAGCATGACTGTAATTACATCGAGGTGCGTTTCATTTTTCTATTTCCTCTTTGTTAGTTTTCATCTTTTGGTCTCGCAGTCTTGTTTAGATTGCTGGAGGTGTGTGTGTGTGTTTTGTTTTTTTTTTTTGTATTCTTTTTTGTTATTGCATCAACACCACCCACCATAACTCAAGAGCTAAAGTCAGGCACTTAATGCAATGCACTGCAGCCAACACTGGCTCCTGACCTGTCTGAGAAAATATATTCACAATGGGGATATATGTGTAAATCGAGTTGGGAAAGGCATGAAAACAAATTTCAGGAGCCTTGTGAAAATGGACACAAAGAAATCCTATCAAACAATGACTGAAGGGAGATAAACAAAAGGAGGCTGGAGGATGATCTGAAATCAATCCTGAGAAGCCACAATATCAGTAGCAGATAAGGGAGGCTCAGACACTGGATTATAACACCCAATGGCAGCTGACTCACAAGGCAACACTGTAGTTAAAGTATCGATGTAATGATGGGATGAAAACAGACTGGTCACACTGAAAGCTGCTGTTTCATTACTCAACCCATCGTGATGATGATGATGATGTTGACGATGATGATGATAATAATGGTGTTGTGTGAATGTGTCGTGACCTACAGAGGTGTAGAGAAAGCCTTCATTGTTCATTGCCAAGTAGAGTTTGGTCTGCACGCCCTGGATGGCCACCACACGAAGCCCCACCGGGATCAGGTTGAACACAGCTATGTGTGCACATACACACCCACACAAAAGCACACACAAATACACAAAGCAAACAAACCAGCACTCACACAGTGAACACAGGGAAACGGAGAGAAAAAGACTCATCAATAACAATGTTGTGTCCAGTATGATGAAACATCCATTTTGCCACAGCGATGCAATTTTCAGTCTGGCGCTAAGGCTACTGTATTACACTAATGATTGAGCCCCTGGTATAGCCTGGTATAGCACAGGGATGAAAGGGGTAAGAATTATCAAAGGGCACACAGCAAAGCAAGGTTTGGTAAACATTTAGTAGTGCAAGACCATGTTTCAACAGAAAAGCCACCAGACCAGAACAACCAGAGTCAGAGATTACCCATATTTCTACTACCATAGACATGAAAATAGTCCTACCAGGGCCACAACAGTCATTGTCATTATCAGCTTTTTTTCTATTAATAGATCAATCATTTAGTCTAGAAAATGTCAGAAGGTCCTGAAAAATGTCCTTGTTGACCAAACTCTGACATATTCAGTGATAGGCTACAGTATAGATCTTGCATTTAAGTGGCTGAAACCAGAGAATCTTTGACAGTTTGATTAGTAAATGACTTCAACAATGATCAAAATTGCTCTTGACTCAATTTCTGTCAGATGACTAACCAACAAACTGATCAACTTGCAATTAATTTCAGCGCTAAATCCTGCTTTTGAACATGTATAGTAGGGATGGCATGGCTTGGGCTCCACAATCTTAATACATTACCGAAGGCGTAGGTTTGGTGGGGACACAAAAAATGTGAAGTTCTTAAAAAATACATTAATTAATTAACCCTACTTAAAATCCCATTTAGCTTTTGTTGATGGAGCTTCCTGTAGTTTTGCAGCCCTGAGTAGTGCCTGCAGACTTTCTCTCAGCTGGAGGTACAAATGATACCTACTAAGGAGTTGGGCAGTAGCCGGTATGTCGCCTGAGAGGAGAAACCCAGGACAAAATAAAGTCCATGGTTAAAATTAATGGCGATATTCTCTCTCTCTCTCTCTCTCTCTCTCTCTCTCTCTCTCTCTCTCTCTCTCAGCACTTTTCTCTCATCTGTATTTTAACAGCTAGACAGTAAGAAGATGTTGTTTAGAGAGATTTAAGTGAGTAAAATCTAAATGACACCACAAAAGGATTTTGGAAAGTCAGGGTGCCATGTCCCCCTGATCCCTACGCCCTTGTACATTACAGTGAATATAACATTAAAGCAGACTGTCAGATTTAATTTAAGAGTATTTCCAGACATGATGGATGAACAGATAAAGGATCCACAGTGACAAAAGCATATGAATAGATTATAGGCTTCATCATATACACATTTTTAGTGTGCAGTGAAAAAACTGATACTATATCAAAATTTTCGCTTTTGTTGTTGTTGTTTTCACTCGGTGGTTTGCACTCAGTAACTCAAGCCAGAAAGTTATTTATATGTTTCCACAGTAAAAGCTCTGTAGCACGGACATAATTATTCCAGGCAGTTTGATGAGTCAAGCCCTTGTTTAATTATACTCATTTAGCCAAACATTTCCTTAGTAATGACTGTGGTTATATGGAGACATGGATTACATGGATTATCCATTCAAACCCAGTATCCATGTGGGATTTCACATGGGTAGGCGTTTACATGATGTATACACCATGTAATCATCTAATTAAAGAACATGCTTCCTTTGCAGCCATGTCTTTCTCCTTGTGCACAACAGTTGGTGGCCCGAGAAGAAGCCGAGATTAATGCGTGACTCTGGCAACACCAAGTGTGCGCGAGAAAGAGAGATTGATGTCTGAGCCACAACAACACGATTGAATTAGCCGTATCAATCACACATTGTAGCCCGTGTGTGTTTGTGTGCGTGAGAAAGAGGGAGACGGAGATAGACCAGGCAAAAGGGAATTTGTTCACTGGCGCAGGTCAACCTATTTCACAGATTTGAACATTGCACTGTAAGCTCTATTGTAGTAATACCTGGTAGTAGTCTCAAACTGCACGATGAGCAGTTCCTTTATCTTCCTTTACTTTATAAGCTCTAAAGATCTCAGACTGAGGCGCTAACACGTATAAGTTGAAATGCTGCTTTATTTTTGTTAGGGTTGGAGTAACACACATTTGTTTTTCCATTTATGGTAACTTAAGTTCTGTAAAGCTGATTTTAGAGCGGAAACGATGAAATGATTAATCAATTAGTTGCTCAACAGAAAATTAACTAGTATTGATTGATTGTTTCATTAATTTTTCCAAGCGAAAATACCAAACACATAAGTTCCATTTTCTTAAATGCAATCATTTGATCTTTTCTATGTCATATATGAGAGCTAACTGAATCGTTTTGGACTGCTGGTCGGATAAAAAAAACTATTTTAAGATTTCATCTTGGCCTCTGGGGCATCGTTATCTGCATTTTTTTTCACTGTTTTTGGACACTATAGCCAAAATGATTAATCCAGAAAATAACTGGCTGGTTAATCGATAATGAAAATAACTGTTAGTTACAGGACAAGCTGAAAGAAGGCACATGTAGGAAATGGAAACATTTGGATAGCGAGTAGCCTTTTCTGTACATCCAAAGGACAGGCTTACCATAGGTGCTGTCCTCATCCTTGGTTCCATCAATGGTGCCATCAGGCTGCATCTGCAGCTGGAAGCCCTGGCGACTGGAAAGTCTGGTCACAATGCCCTGCAACTGGGGCTCTGAGAGGAGAGGAGAGGAGAGGAGTCACATTAACTGCATTCATTCCTTATTACTGTCATGTGCGCGCATGTATCAAATCCAGCAGTCTGCAGGAAGCCGGAAGTTTTAGAGGAGGAGAGGCTGTTTATATTTCCAAGGGCCGGGCCTTGAGGGCCCAATATCAGTCTCTGACCCCTGTACAGAGTGGCGCACATAAAAATTTAATAATAATTGACAGATGTTACATGACGAATGGAGCAGCTCAAGCTTAAATTTGGATCTTATTTTTCTGAGATCTCAGCAGTTATCACAGATACAAGCTGCCACAACACTTTGCTGCAGGACAATGCAAAGTTATTTACATGTGATGTTTTTGGGGTCATCCGACACGATTAATTCTTGTGCCACTGCTAGGAGACTATGATGAAGTGATGGGGGACCAGAGAAAATGGTGTTGGTTGGTGGTGGTGATGATGGTAATGTGGTGAAGATGGTTGAGGTGGTGGTATAGCCCATGTCTCTCAGACTTTCCTGTCCCCCACCCTCAGACCTGGTGGTCGCCTTCTCTTCCGTTTCTTCCTCGATCCAAACAATTTGACACGCGAGAACACATTCAGCTTGCTCGGCTTCTCGTTTGTGCCTTTGCTGTTGCTCGGGCTGCCGCTGCCGCGGCAAGCGTTCGCCTTCTCCCGCTCCCTCGCCTGCCGCTTCTGGCGGATCAGGGAGCTGGCGATAGCCGCTGCCCGGGACATGTTCCCCCGGTGGAGTGAAACAAGGCTGTGCGTCCCGGTTGGAAGGAGAGTTCGCGGATAAGGCGATGGGGGTGTGGGGTGCGGGGAGGGGGTCTACACCACCCACGGCTCAGTTCGCATCACACACCGGCCGCTGCAGTCTCGCAGATATCCGTGTTTTTAAAAAGCGTCCAGAATCCTCCATCCGTGCGTCCGGGCGCTTCATGGAAGTCGTTCAAACAAATCCAGTAATGTGCCACGGAGTGAGCGTTAACGACGCCGCCTCACATCCCCCAAGGGGTCGGAGTGGCAAAAGCTGTCTGCCCCCCTCCCCCCCTCCCCCCTCCAAGGTGCTTCTTCTGGCTGTCCCGAGAGAGCGTGCAGGATGAAGAGGGTGTGCGCGAGTCTCCGGTCCGGGTCGAAGTGGCGAATCAACAGCTTAAGAGCTGGTGCGAACGACACCGGCGGTTGATGTCGATGATGACTGCAGCTGCTGCTGCCTCCTCTTCTGCTGCTGCTGCTGCTGCTGCTGCTCTGCACCGCTCCCCCGGCGATGCTCCGCTCCTCGACGCTGTCCGTGACAGAAATGCAGCAACCGGAATGTTTGTCAATGAAACAGCTCGGGGCTGGTTCAGTGGGAGAGGGATCATGATGCAGCCGTGCCGTTCATAAAACTGCTGCAGCCCTGCCCGCCCCGAGGAAGACGAACGAGGAGGGGGGGTTGGAGAGGATGTGTGTATGTGTGCGCGTGTTATCTGTCTGTGTGTGTGTGTGTGTGTGTGTGTGTGTGTGTGTGTGTGTGTGTGTGGGTGTGGGGGGGGGGTCGGAGATGAAGGAGGTTTGGGCAGCTCTTTCTCTTAGGGCACCTGTAGCCCTGAACCCCACGTGGCATGATATTTACATGTTACACTGAACAGTGATGTGTGATAGGCAGGGAGATTGAGAGGGGGGGGAGGAGGGGGGAGGGAGGGAGGCGGTGTAATATAGGAGGAGTGAGGAAAACGAACAGCGAAATAAGAGGGATAGAGGAGACAGACAGGTGAATGAATGAGAGGAGGAATAATGGAAAAGGGGGGCGGAAGAGAGAAAATGAGATAGGCTGTGTATGTGAGAAAGAGGGAGGGAGAGGGAGCTTGTAGAAAATACACAACCTGAAAATGGACTGGGAAAAGAGGGATGAATGCAGAGAGAAGGAAAAAATGAACTGGCAAAAGAATGGGAGGCGTTAAGAGTGAAAGGGAGGGCGAGAGAGTGAGAGAGAGCGAGGACTGGAGAAGGAGAAAAATATAGACAGAGGGAGGCAAAGGGAATGTTTAATATGTGAGAAGGCATAAGGAAAGAGGTAAAACAAGTGAAGGAGGAATATTAGAAGAGAGAGAGACCTGGTGAATGTGTTTGTGAGAAAGTGGAGGCAGAAAGGAGGGGCTCTCATCTTGTTTTGGTGCAGAGGTTCACCACTGCTGAAAGGCTGCAGCGTGCAAGGAGGAGGTGAATATCAGAGACAGCACTTCAGTCTGGATGAGCTGCGTCGTTTTCCAGATGTTCCCTCTGCATTCGCACCAGAGCAGAGGCACACGCATACGGCAGCAATCAGCCACTTCAGGCATGTCGTCTGGCCACAGGCAGCCCCCACAGGAAAACAGATGCACAGCTGTCAGTGCCAAATGCAGCTGCAACGGCGCATGGCAACTGCAGCTCCCAACTGGTATCTACAGAGGAAGACGAGGCGGCGGACAAATAGACGACTGACTCACAGCTGAAGTCGACCTGTGGCACCTGGCGCCGAACAGCGGGCAAGGGCCAATGCGTGCTGTTCGCCAGTGGAAAAGGTAGTGGAAATCGATAGCTGGAGAGCAAGAGGATGTGGTGAGCAGTAAATTACATGCGGAAGAGGAGGCAAACTCAGTATGCTGTAGCCCATTGTGAGAATAAGCCAATGAGCGGAGGAGAAAGTGATGGACTGTGGATAGACACTGAGGTCAGGACCTGGTCACTGAAGCGGAGCCTTTAGCCTGTCCTTGACTGAAGGAGCTGAAGTTACACCTATGGCCTTCTGCTTAGGTAAGACCCTTGTAAATGTACAGATAGATATAGTTTAGATGCAACTGTACAGTTCAACCCACATGCTATACATTCCCTGGGAGCAATGACACTTCAGCCATAAAGGGTTTCATAACCAATCTGTGATGCCATGTAAAACATAAAAATATAGAAGCAAACCTGTACAAGCGATGCAATAAAATGACTGAAAGCTTGGTCTAGTCCCTCATCTTTCATTTATGAGATCCCTGCTTTAAAACCCACACCACGTGCCCCTAAAAGCAAAAGCCACACAAACGAGAGCTGACAAAATGTCATGTAACAATACAAGCTGCGGGGTAAACAAACCGTGACAAACATAAATACAGCCACTTCTCACCCTTTGAATTAAATCACCACGCTAACAAATGTAGATGTTACAGAAAACAAGTGAATCAATGAGTGAATCAATAGAAAGATCATTACACAAATAAGCAACCAAACAACACAGGGGAGAACAAATTTGTTTCCTGGATTTACAATAAAAAACATCCTGAATAAGCAAAGTCTTTAGTCTAAATGTGTCAGACTGTTGCACCTGTAGAAAGAAATGGAGAAAAAAAGGAATTTAACAGATAAATCTGAGCTGTTGCATCTTGTCTTTTCTATGTTTAAAAGCCAGTACACTTCTAAGGTTTGCTTGGAGTTCTGTAGCGTCACCTACAGGCAGGTTAGGAATTTGATACTTGAGAAGAGGGAATTAATAATGAAAACTACACTGCTGTATGTTTACAGCAAGCAGCCCAGGGAGAGCTTTTATGTGTGTGATTGCCAGTCAGACCAGGCGTGCCAGTTAGAGTATAATCGGCCATGCTCGATAGGGACCCAGCAGCACGCGGTGGCAGCCTGTTCAACACTTTGCAGCAAACTGGGGAGACCTTAGACCAGCATAAGTGAACAATGTGATACACTTTAACTAGGAATTTGTGTGTCCAGTAAAGTTCCTTGGATATCATGCACACACGTTTTACCCTAATAACTTTGGGATATTTTGGTTCAGGTAGAAATTGAAAGTGAAAAGTTATTTTGGTTGATCTTTATTTTCACAGAGTAAGAAACCACCCTGCAGGCTGACATGTATTCTGACAGTAAAGGGATTATTACTCTTTCCGCAAACTGCAGAGAATTTTGATTCAAGGTCTCTGAGGGCGTTTATGTGAACTTGGCTTAAAGCTAATTTTATTCATGCTTCCAAAATAAGACCGGAATATTGTGTTATGTTAAGTCCTTTTAATATTTCAAAAGTTGGGGCTTTGTTCATCTATAATTTGCCCCGGGCCGTGGAGGACACTGATACAGTTCAAGATCAGGATTCAGTGGCTGCAATAGAACAACAGTCAGATCCTGAACCACGGGCTAATTCACTACAGGTGAATTGAAAAGGGGTTCAAGTCCCGGAGATAATCCGATAAAACAGTGTTTTCTTCGGACAGTTCTTTACAGAGACGGCTCAGCGGAGGGGCGCGTCCGGCTCTGCTTTCAGCACCACGGACAGAGCTGCACGTTTTAACTGAGTTAAAACAGTTTGTACTCAAATTACAACAAAATGATCATGTTATTTAAAACACAAGTTTATAAAATTGTGAAACGGAGCATTTGAGAACATTTTAATGTCAAAACTAAATTCATTTATAAAACTAGCAAAAACCTCAGAGTATTTTAGTAAAGTCCCTTTAGGAGAGTCTGTTGGCTTTACTGTAATTTCATGCTTATCCCTTCTGCCCTATAATAGTCTATTCCGGAGCACATTATACACAGATGCCGAGTTGTGTTGATATTCTCACAGCTTCATGTAAGAATTTTCTAACAGGATTACCGTAGGCTCGTTGTGTGAGTTTGTTTCCTGTGGTCCTACCTGAGGTCGATCGGCGGAGGGGGAAACTCATGCTGTGCCCGTGGAGCTTCGGAGCCTTGTGCTCATGGCTTCTCGCTCTTACTTGATGTGCGCGGCTCGACGAAAAGAGGAGGAATTACCGAAGTTCAAACCAGCGAACTCTCCACGGCATTGAATCCATTAAGGCCGCGCACATGGCGTTGACGGGAGATCATTACAGAACATTAGAGGCCATTAAGCCGTTGGAACCGGTCATTAATGATTCATCTCGAGGCCCCGCTGATCTGGCACAATGAGAGAGAGAGGGAGGGAGCCAGCGGGCCGTTCTCAAATCCAAGGATCTATCAAGCTTTGTGTGTGTGTGTGTGTGTGTGTGTGTGTGTGTGTGTGTGTGTGTGTGAGAGAGAGTGTGTGTGTGTGTGTGTGAGAGTGTGTGTGAGAGTGTGTGTGAGAGTGTGTGAGAGAGAGAAGTTTGGAGTGAAACAACTGTAAATGGGATGGTAGTGGGCACACACACACACAAACATCTAAATTCTACTGTATTGTTGGGTCTCTCTGTTGACCTCCCAGTAACCCCTAACATTATCCAGGAACACTCCATGTTGCCATAAACTTTATCCAAAAACCTAAACATAACAAACTATAAGTTCTTTTTGCCAGATTTAATATTTTTATGTTTCTGTCTTCATGAAAACCCTTGTAACTGTGTCATAGTAGCTACTCTTTTGCCTTCATAACTCAGTTTGGTACTGCAACTAAGGATTATTTTCCTTATCAATTAAATCAATTAATCTCTCGATTTATGTCCCAGATTAACTGATTAATCACTTAGTCTATGAAATGTGAAAAAAGCATATCGCAATCTAATAAAGCCCAGGGTCTACATTATCAAAATGCATCTTTTCCACTACTGACGGTCTAAAACTAAAAGCATCCAATTTTTACAACTATCAAACTAGATGCCAATTATTTTTCTAGTCAACTGACTACTTGATTAATTAATTAATCATCTCGGCTCTAACACAGCAGGATGATGAAAGTCGGACCTCTGTAAAAGCTGAAACTTCACTTGGTGTTAAACTTAATATGACTTTCTCCAAAGCTGCATTTTGTGACTCACTGCCTCAGGCAAAGAAACAGAAAAGACTAAGAAGCCATTTCAAGTAAAACAGAAAAAAAACTATATAACTGAGAGGAACAAGTAAAACCCCAGCAACACTGACTGAAAGAGATCAGGTTAAAGACTATCTCAAAAA